GGCCCGGATGTGGGCGAGAAGCCGTTATATCTGTTTAGTAATCTGATGACATCCGGCACCGTGTATCACTCAATCAAAATCCCCTGTGTCTGTCACATGCTCCGCGATATGGCATTTCCAATATTCATTGTTGAGAGAAATTGACTTCGTTATAGTTTATTTTGTACAAACATTAGCGTAATACACATTGATTAGACCAGGACAAATGCTAGTATTTTGTTAGGGATTTGTAAAAATAACGATAATTTAGTTTCTTGAAACATTAAAATGTAATACTAGTCTCATCATTTTGTTGCAAATGACAGAACAAGAACAGTTGAAGATAGTATTTATGGAGTTTTGTGAACTGAATTCCAACATGTTGGTTAGCTATATTTGAGGCTTACAAAGCGCACAGTAATACCAATATCGGTATGTATTGCTTCCAGTTGCGTCCCTAAATCTGAATCTTTATTTACAGACGTATTTAAGTACCATCGATATTGCATTGAAAGAATTGGCTATTCCTATCGCTCTACTTACATCGTGAAGAATCCTTTATTTTCTCCGCTTCATTTAAAGCCTTACTTGACCTACTTACACCTTCATTAGATTTCTAAATTACTATCACTGGAAGTTGTGAAATGTTAGTGTAACTGTACTTACTGATGAACTGGAACAGCCTGACCTATATTTTCTATACGAAACATCTCTTAATCACATCCGCTTGTTTCTCTAACAAGCTTAAAACCCAATAAAAGAACAATATATAAATGACTGTCTAAATCAAATAATGGAGACCTTATTAAGACCTTATTGGCAAACCTTTAACCCTTAAACCATAAGAACAAACGGGAACGGAATGAAAATATCCCCTGTCTATTCATTATAGGATAACATGGCATCACGTGATTTGAACGAAGAAATCCATACAACCAAAATATCTGTCATTTGATTAAGAGGGTGTCCATACTTCAATAAAACAAGTATTTGGCTAAAATGTGTTTATATTGAGCTTGAACTAGAACGGTAAAAATATCTTTATGGAATCTTATCTTTCCTAATTGAGTGTGGTTAATGGTGGGAAGGCTTTCAAGATAATTTTTATCAGTAAATCAAATTCGTAACCCAGATAAAATATTTGACAATCAGAACTTATCAACTTGTGATTACAATATTTCAGTGTGAAAACACTGCAGAAACACATTTTGTTGCCTTAATTACATGTGTACATTGTCTTTATGCAAAAGGAAAACTATGGCGGAGACATTTTTGTAACCTCGACAAAACTTCATCATTTTCATTGATGTGATCATATCAATGATCAAAAGAATTAGATGATCATTTTTATCATAAATACATTAAAGTAGGGCGATGGTTTTTATTTCCTCTAAGCATTAGGGAGTGTTAGATTAAGGAAAGAATGAGGTGCAATAAGAAGGTCAAACGGCTATTCGGTTCAAATGTGAAAATGTTGAGCTTGAACTACAACGGAAAGATATCTTGACTTTCTAATTCAGAGTGGTTAATGAGCGTGTTAAAAGGTTTTAATTGGTATGAATTTCCTGAACACAATAAGCAAGGTAATCACTTTAAAACACGGAAAGCATTGACGAGACTTTGCTACCTCCCAATACTTGTATTTTCGTATTTGTAGAGGTCGGTTTTGGTTTTCCGGAAGTCCCTATTATCATTTGTATTAATATCAAGATAGACTGTACTACAAAGAACATGTTTTACATCAATCCTGGATTTGGTCAATTTAGCCCCTCAGTTTCATGGACAAGTCCTACACGAATGGAAATGCTGTATGATGCAGTTTAATTCTGAATTAGATTGAAAGGTATCCAAATCTAAATTTCTATGAAATATGCTAATCTCTTTTGAGTGTTTTGTATAATATTTGATAAAAGTCGCATTCCCTAAATATTCAGTTTATGATAATTGTCTATTGAATACTTAAGACCAGTTGATTACTATTGTCTTCAATATTAGTAAATAAACTTTTCAAGATATTTCAGATCTGTTTGTCAGAAAAGAGATTCGTTTGAAAATGAAGTACATATATATACAACCTTTATTTTTGTATCGCATTTTTATGACAAAGTCGACTGACTATTGATTTTCTTATCTTTACACTTTCAACATGAACAAAATGCAATTCATGGATTTGATTATTGATAAGTCTACATGTTTGCTTCTTGCAATATCGGGGGTAATCACGCTATCGGATTTTACATAGAATAAAACAGTTTGAACGAACAGTCTTTCGTTTTTATAATCAACTCATTCAAGATTTGTAAGGACTAAGTTTGGTCAATGTGCTTCTACTGCTTGGGCTCCATGTAAGCGTATAGAAGTGACCATAGTGTGACTTTCAATTATGTTTCTAAACTATGTATGTAGTAAAATCTAACTTACGGTAGTCCTTAATCAATTCGTATGGAGAAGCAACCATGTTGACCACAGAAAAAATCGGAGACCACTAGCAAGTTGTGAGTGGCTCGTGACCTTTATATGGATTAGCTGCTTGGCACCAATATATACATTAACAAACGTCTTAATGTCTTGTGCGAAATGTCAAATAGATGTTGCCGGCTCGACAGCCTTATTATTTATGTTTGAGATGTAGAGCTCTAATGTTTGTATCGTAGACGTTTTCATCAAGTCGTCAACATTCCTACTGTTAATGCTAAATCATGCAGACACATTTTCAACTTGTCTTCCTATTGTTACTGACAACCTGGACATGTGGAGTAGTAGAATACCAAACACCACGAATTTGATTGGGCGAATTTGTTCGACCTTGAATATCTCTTTTTTGTCGACTATACAACTCTGTTAGTGACATCGAAATAGAATGTTACAGTTTTAAAAACTATCTACGTTTACTGCATAATTTAATCGTCGTTTAGTTATATCTTATTGGAATTATTCTGGCGCGCTGATAAAATCTTTAGAAACACAAGAGGTTTTACTACACACATTAAACACATTGATAGTGACTTAGTTGTCGCTAAAACCTGTCGAATGAAATAATTTACATTTAATCAATAAATACGTACTCTGTCTCGATATGGGAACCACAGGTTAACCTTCGGAATGAAATAATTGTAACTTAAACCAAATATATAGAGGTCTATTGTCTTCCTTTGTGTATATATGATATAGTATATCCACAAAATTTGGAAGATTCCTTACCCTTACCGTACACTACATACGCAATGCTAGTACACTTCACACATGCCATTTGTCTGCTGAAGGTGGCCGTAGTCATTTTAACGCCACACTTTAATTTTCTACTATTTGTGATTTAAGGACATTGCTCTGTGTCAACAACCTTTCGATAAATATTGTCCCTTTTAAAGATAGGTTAAGTATGGCACGCCGGCACTCATTTCAAAATGTGAAATTCACTTTAGTTTCGTCATTGTGCTTGCTAATAGCATAAGTAACATTTATCGTTAAGTTGTTTTGAAATTTAAGTCCTAGTAGTGACACAACCTCTTATTATGGCGACAGTGGTCTTGTAGTCAAACGTTTGAAAGAGTTTGAATTTTTGTACTTGATTTTACCAAGCACACCTGGTGTACAGTAAATCTAACACAGGGGACCTCTTCTTACGTCGGTATATCTGGCATCAAGACATTTTATTATGTCTGTGCACAAAACATTTGGAGATAACCTTGACTCTGTCATAACATAAAGAATGGTGAAGGGGGACATTGTACCTCGGTCATATTTCTTTCTGACTAAATTCATTTTATAACCGAACTGTAAAATGGGGACATTAACGTGTATAACGTACAATCGAGAGTCGTTTACATTACTGGAACAGCAATAAGATTGATTTAAGATCGACATCGCTCGCTATGGTATTTGGACGAATGCGCAAAGAGATTATCTGAGACCGCCTATTATTGATCACCACGGAATTTAAACCATAAACACGTTCTCAATGACGAAATCATACTTATCTTTATGAAAAATTGTGATATTTTCTTATGTTACTATTCTCCGATGAAATAAAAGGCATTATTGGTAAGTACAACATATAGACCCTACACCCACGTTATAGACCTAATCCAATCCATCACTGTACCTTTGTTGGATGATCGAGTTCCTTGCTGACAGCATCTTCATCGAGTTTGGTGTAACGTACTATTGGCATAACTATGAGAACTAACTATGCTCCTCTGTTGGCTGACTTGTTTTTGCTTTCATGCCAGGCTGCATTTATCAAAGAGATTATTAAAACCGGTCACAAAGACCTTGCAATGTCATTTAATTTCACTTTAAGATACATTAATGACGTCTTGTCTTTAAATGATAAGAACCTTATTGACCAGGATCATCGCATATACCCACCAGAACTGGAAAATCTTCTTTTTTAAAGCAAATTCTTCATTACTCTTATTTGCCAAAATATAATAATACGCTTAAATTTCATTGCACTAAATTCCCTTTTGTAACTTTCCATTTCTAGACAGCAACAACACAACATCCCGAACATATGATATGTACAGGTCACAGTTGATTCGATATTCTCGAGCCCATTCCCATAATCATGACTTTCGTACAAGAAGTAGTCAACCGACGGACAAACTCGTTTCAAGAGGTTTCAAAAGATGCGGGTTGATGAAAATAGCGGGAAAATGTCACGATCGTCATAGCAACATCCTTGAGATATGCTCTATTTCTTTTTGCGATATGAAGCTGGACGTGTTTGATACTCGTTAGTTTTCCTAATGGCTGCGTTGTTGTATATTTTGTTCTCATTTAAGAAAGTGACATCTTTTACTTTAACTGACCAAGATTTACATGACAGGTGTTGTCGATGACTCCGAAGGCGCTTACTCTTCCGAAGCACATGATCTTCTTTTTCTGGTACATTTTCACGAGTCTCCGTGTAAGTCATTATTTTGTTCATAATATGTCGTTTTTAGGGCTTTGAATTTTAATTATGTTGACCTGTCGGTTTTTTCTATTATAGATTTTTTACGTATTTTTTTATGTTGCAGAACAATTGAAAACTCCGGTCTTAGATATATATCACCGGAAGCTCTTAAAGGGAACAAAGAACTCGAGATTATGTAAGTATCTTTATCGGAATGCGTGTATTTCTTTAAAATGTATTAAGTTATACTGTGATCTGCTGCCATTAGATATAATAACCTGATTATCACACGTTTGATAGATTCAGATGATATTCGCAAATTTTAACATATTAAACCATAAAATATCCCATGACGAATACTTGAGAACCTAGCCACTCAATGACAAGAAGAGCCTTTGTAACCAAATCAGATAATGGTTTAGTTGTAAATTTATGGAAATGTAATCAAGTTACTATAAGATATATTGTAAGGGATTCAGAGTAGATGTCGTTGTTGCCCTATTGAAGAGCGGAGACTAACATGCTGTGTTATGAAAACGATGGCGTAAACTATCAGATATTAACACAGATATGATTGGAGAGGTGAATGGTCATATGATTTGATTACGTCTTTGCGTCCCTTGTCAATGATATTAGCTGAAATAGATGGAGTTATCCACAAATGGCGTGTTATTTGGTGTCCGGCTAGAGATCACTCGTTCGAACCCAGACAGGGCAGATTCTTTTTCATTACGCACTCCTTTACAAATTGTGATGCTTAGTAGGAGATATGGGACCGTGGATATTGTTGTCTTTTGAGACAGGGAAAAAGCAGGTAAATGTAAATTGAGGGAGTAGTATATAAGTAGATAATCCTTATCGCTTTATTAGCATCAGCAAGTAGGACTTCCCCTTTATCCCAACGGTGTATTGTACGGTTAGTGAAAGGTCCTTACACAATCCTCAGTGAGGTCAAAGTGTTTTTCATTACTACTTACATTTTCGTTTTATTAGTTGTATTAGCAAGTGAAATTATAAAAATCCATTACCCATGCCTCAATACAGATCCAACAAACAATACAGACTCGAGAACTGACAGCTAGTTTTGAGTGCTAACACATACAGAGTACATGCGTCCAAACAGATTAAGGTACCGATAGCTTAAACACTTAATCAGGTACACATACATTCATACAAACGTAAGAACTATTTGCTCTGTCACGTACATAATTCCTCTGAATTTCCTTCCATAAAGATTAAGGAACTCTTTCCAACGTCTGATAGACACATCCATACTGGATGCCATTACCACGTCGTTGTTTCTTGTTCCATTTCCATCAATTATTTATCCCGGATGATCTACAGAGCCAATCGTTGAGAATGAAACGGAATGCTATAAAGGGGGTCACAACAGGGTATTTATTGTGTGGGAATAAAGGCTAGTTGACAAGGTCAATTTAAATAAAATGACTGTATAACGATTGTTGATATTAACTTTTGTTTCCGTATTTTCAATATTTGTGTTCTTTAGATTAGATTAATAGTTAAAATGAAACTCGATTTTATTGCCCTCGTTCATTCCCCCGTGATGGACCTCAACCGTTCTCTGCTGTAAAGACTAATCATATGAGTGAAGGTTCACACTTTGTAGTATTACCCGGCTCCGATCGAATTCTGTAGTGAATTACGTAACACACTGTAGGTGAAAAGATGAAATATTTATTTGTGTATTAGAAACGGAGCTTTGTTTGGAGTGGTACTTGGCGTTAAATCTTTACCATAAAACGGAAGTTGTTTTGGAAACAATTTTCACTTGTTTGCCTCAATAGTCCTTTAGGCTATAAGGCTGCAGGTAGAGCACCGATTATTGATTTGAAAAAGAATTGTAAAAGCAGAAAGCAATATTTCATAGCATTTACTGTTAGTCGATTGTTATGAAAATGTGAACAGAAGGTAAAGTCAAGCAGTCAAAGTAAATTTTAACTGTAGTTTTGTCTTTAAAATCAAAGTTATTAATTAGTTGTATGGCGCTTTTATTACAAATCTTCAAGATATATTATAACGGCTATAATGTATAAGGGACTTTTAAGCTCCTTCAATGACTGCAGCGTCTTTAAGAATGCTTACCGTACAACATTGTAAGGTATTCCATGTATAATACCCATTGTTTCAAAACTGAAGGAAAACAATGCAGTACCAAACATATTTTCATATTCGTTTCAAATGTATATGAACTTTTACCGTATCCATTTATATATATATTTTTATCAGTTTTATACTGCTTTCTTGTTCTAACAACTTGCATGGAAAAATGATAAGACTTTTGTACTGTCTATAATTTGCAAATATTAAGGAAAGTGTCTTTCTGTCTGTCTGTCTCAAACCATGAATAGCATATTTGATTTTATGCGTACAAAACCAGTGTAAAATAAGAAATGTTACTGAAGTCAGGTTCGTTTCAAAACGGAACATGCTTAAATTGTGTTATCAATGACAAAGTGCACAAGTAGCCAAAAACAACAAGAAAACATGTAAACAGAATCACATTCCAAACTCAGCTACAGTAAACCTAGGACAAAAACAACAACAAAATACCACCATGTAAACAGAATCACATTCCAGACTCATCTACAGTAAAACTAGGACAAAAACAACAAGAAAACATGTAAACAGAATCACATTCCAGACTCATCTACAGTAAAACTAGGACAAAAACAACAAGAAAATACCACCATGTAAACAGAATCACATTCCAGACTCATCTACAGTAAAACTAGGACAAAAACAACAACAAAATACCACCATGTAAACAGAATCACATTCCAGACTCATCTACAGTAAAACTAGGACAAAAACAACAAGAAAATACCACCATGTAAACAGAATCACATTCCAGACTCATCTACAGTAATTCTAGGACAAAAACAACAAGAAAACATGTAAACAGAATCACATTCCAGACTCATCTACAGTAAAACTAGGACAAAAACAACAACAAAATACCACCATGTAAACAGAATCACATTCCAGACTCATCTACAGTAAAACTAGGACAAAAACAACAAGAAAATACCACCATGTAAACAGAATCACATTCCAGACTCATCTACAGTAAAACTAGGACAAAAACAACAAGAAAACATGTAAACAGAATCACATTCCAGACTCATCTACAGTAAAACTAGGACAAAAACAACAAGAAAACATGTAAACAGAATCACATTCCAGACTCATCTACAGTAAAACTAGGACAAAAACAACAAAAAAATACCACCATGTAAACAGAATCACATTCCAGACTCATCTACAGTAAAACTAGGACAAAAACAACAAGAAAACATGTAAACAGAATCACATTCCAGACTCATCTACAGTAAAACTAGGACAAAAACAACAAGAAAACATGTAAACAGAATCACATTCCAGACTCATCTACAGTAAAACTAGGACAAAAACAACAAGAAAACATGTAAACAGAATTACATTCCAGACTCATCTACAGTAAAACTAGGACAAAAACAACAAGAAAACATGTAAACAGAATCACATTCCAGACTCATCTACAGTAAAACTAGGACAAAAACAACAAAAAAATACCACCATGTAAACAGAATCACATTCCAGACTCATCTACAGTAAAACTAGGACAAAAACAACAAGAAAACATGTAAACAGAATTACATTCCAGACTCATCTACAGTAAAACTAGGACAAAAACAACAAGAAAACATGTAAACAGAATCACATTCCAGACTCATCTACAGTAAAACTAGGACAAAAACAACAAAAAAATACCACCATGTAAACAGAATCACATTCCAGACTCATCTACAGTAAAACTAGGACAAAAACAACAAGAAAACATGTAAACAGAATTACATTCCAGACTCATCTACAGTAAAACTAGGACAAAAACAACAAGAAAACATGTAAACAGAATCACATTCCAGACTCATCTACAGTAAAACTAGGACAAAAACAACAACAAAATACTACCATGTGAACAGAATCACATTCCAGACTCATCTACAGTAAAACTAGGACAAAAACAACAAGAAAACATGTAAACAGAATCACATTCCAGACTCATCTACAGTAAAACTAGGACAAAAACAACAAAAAAAATACCACCATGTTAACAGAATCACATTCCAGACTCATCTACAGTAAAACTAGGACAAAAACAACAAGAAAACATGTGAACAGAATCACATTCCAGACTCATCTACAGTAAAACTAGGACAAAAACAACCGGGAAACATGTAAACAGAACCACATTCCAGACTCATCTACAGTAAAACTAGGACAAAAACAACAACAAAATACTACCATGTGAACAGAATCACATTCCAGACTCATCTACAGTAAAACTAGGACAAAAACAACCGGAAAACATGTAAACAGAATCACATTCCAGACTCATCTACAGTAAAACTAGGACAAAAACAACAAGAAAACATGTAAACAGAATCACATTCCAGACTCATCTACAGTAAAACTAGGACAAAAACAACAAGAAAACATGTAAACAGAATCACATTCCAGACTCATCTACAGTAAAACTAGGACAAAAACAACAAGAAAACATGTAAACAGAATCACATTCCAGACTCATCTACAGTAAAACTAGGACAAAAACAACAAGAAAACATGTAAACAGAATCACATTCCAGACTCATCTACAGTAAAACTAGGACAAAAACAACAAGAAAACATGTAAACAGAATCACATTCCAGACTCATCTACAGTAAAACTAGGACAAAAACAACAAAAAAAACATGTAAACAGAATCACATTCCAGACTCATCTACAGTAAAACTAGGACAAAAACAACAAAAAAAACATGTAAACAGAATCACATTCCAGACTCATCTACAGTAAAACTAGGACAAAAACAACAAGAAAACATGTAAACAGAATCACATTCCAGACTCATCTACAGTAAAACTAGGACAAAAACAACAAAAAAATACCACCATGTAAACAGAATCACATTCCAGACTCATCTACAGTAAAACTAGGACAAAAACAACAAGAAAACATGTAAACAGAATCACATTCCAGACTCATCTACAGTAAAACTAGGACAAAAACAACAAGAAAACATGTAAACAGAATCACATTCCAGATTCATCTACAGTAAAACTAGGACAAAAACAACAAAAATATACCACCATGTAAACAGAATCACATTCCAGACTCATCTACAGTAAAACTAGGACAAAAACAACAAGAAAACATGTAAACAGAATCACATTCCAGACTCATCTACAGTAAAACTAGGACAAAAACAACAAGAAAACATGTAAACAGAATCACATTCCAGATTCATCTACAGTAAAACTAGGACAAAATATGAACAGAAAAACATATTTACACGAATACACCTGGAAAAGTAAATGGAGAATAATAAAAGGTGTTCCGAAAGAGAAAACGTCTTCTGCTTCATCGACGACACTTGTTATGTAAATCTTGATCAATCCAATAAAGTAATGTCACGTTTCCAATCGAACACAACATATGAAACAACATATTTCTTATTGTTTCTTTTCTGGTCCCTTATTTTACTTGGATTTATAAAAAGACGGTCATGTTATGTACTTTTCATAAGAATCGGATGTATTAGTTCATCAAAATTGATAAATCTGCTTCTTCGTTTGCCAATGCAAAGAAGGACAAAGTAGCCCTACCACATCTCAATACAACGCTTTCAGCTCAAGTTTTTTATTGTTCCTACACTAATTAATGAATACATATTACTCGGAACGAACAAAATCATGATTAAGTGGTCAGTCTTTGCTCCTATTCTGTTCATGGAATGTCATTTCATACATAAAGATTAATACAGTTGTTACCGCTGTTGTATCATCGAAGAAACTGTTATTTTCTCATTTACAGATCACTCAGAAGAAACAAGATTGAGTCCCTATCCTGGGAAATCATTGATGGCCCAAATGTCCTTCAGCTGTAAGTATTTCATGTCCTTCACCTGTAAGTATTTCATGTCCCTCACCTGTAAGTATTTCATGTCCTTCACCTGTAACATGTCCTTGCCCTGTAAGTATTTCATATCCCTCACCTTTAAGTATTTCATATTCTTCACCTGTAACATGTCCTTCCCCTGTAAGTATTTCATGTCCCTCACCTGTAAGTATTTCATGTCCTTCACCTGTAACATGTCCTTGCCCTGTAAGTATTTCATATCCCTCACTTTTAAGTATTTCATGTCCCTCACCTGTAAGTATTCGATGTCCCTCACCTGTAAGTATTCCATGTCCCTCACCTGTAAGTATTTCATGTCCCTCACCTGTAAGTATTCGATGTCCGTCACCTGTAAGTATTTCACGTCCTTCAGCTGTAATATTTTCATGGCTTTCAATTGTTAGTATTTCATTTACTTCGTCTGTATCTCATGTCCAAATTGCGTCATTTTCCCTAAAAGCTATCTTGAAATATAAAGGTGATCATTTAATTTTTCAAAAGAAGACCTTTGATCATTGTCCATCCGCGTGCTTTGTAATACTCTCCGCTTAACTGTCTGTTTTAGATGAGTCCACAGTAAGTCAAAAATGTGACCAATGTGGTGTAATGTTACTTTGTATCGATGAAGATAATTAAGTATGATATACAAAACTATCGCCATTGATTAACTGCGCTATGCTATCTGTGGTTTATATCACGACTATTGTTATGCGTAAACAAGCCTACCTCGACTGTCTAGGTGTTTATAGCGGAAGATTTACCGTATGAACCACAGACCATTAGGTCTGCTTTGAACACATATTAAAACTTTTTTAATCTCAATGAACGTACGATCAGCCTAAAGGAGGAAGTCTTCTCAATTTGTCTGTTAGGTTAAGCATATTTGACACCCACATTATATATAAAGAAGATCCGATTTTTTGTCATAAATTGCAATCTGCTTTTTCAATTGATAAGTCTGCACTCAATTATCTGGAGAAACTTTCTGACGATTCTCTGTCATGAAAGCATTTACATGATAACGTAAGCAAATTAAACTTTGACCATGTGTTGTTTCCTACATTAGAAACAATATGTCGGTTTTTATATTCCTTTACTTTATTTATCTGAACCTTTCTTCAATTTCGATCCTCTATGATTATTCAAGATTGACGATCTGGTGATGGTCCTTCAGACACACTGACTTTTGTTCTGTATCTCCACTGATGAGAATCGATCACGTGATCTGATTTTGGCAAAACTTGTTGATTTGACATTAAGAAAAAAAAACAAATCACTATAAATTGAGTGAGGAAGGCTGTGTATGACTCGGAACGTGGTTTTATATTCTAAGAACGAGCATTTAGTGCTAACAATGAATACAAACGGTTATCATGACGTTTCATCAGGACTTTCCTTAAAATGTTCATTGCTTAAGTATTAATGCACACAAGAAAACTTATAGTAAAAGCTATGAGCCAATGCATTGATAATAAAACCATCATTTGGTTATAAATGGAGAATGGATACATAGAGCTTTGTAAAACAGCATGGGCTATACAAACTGATGAACGAATAATATGATGTTTTCTCATGGATCATGGCAAGGAATTAGTCTAAGGTTTGTCTTTATATATTTCTTGACATTTCTGATACATTTGTTCTGATTGTCAGTGGGAATAATATGCCTGATGTATCATACAATGACCTTACCAGTTGGTTTGATTGTAGTATTGTGGATGGAAATCCTCTCCCGTGCAATTGCACGAGTATCTGGCTCAAATTCCTATTAAACAAGAAGTCGTCGTTGGTTTCCACCGGCAACTACATCACGTGTATTGAGAATAGGGACAACGTGCTCACAGAAATGGATCTCTCGATGGCAAATATCACGGGTTGTGGTAAGTTCAGATGTCACATAGCTCACACGGGTTTTATTTTTAAAACATGTGACCTTGTTATCCTGCTTGGCAATTTTTAACATATGGAAATAAAAACTCAAACAAAAATGAATTTGTCTCTAAAACATCAGTTTTAATGAAAGTTCCTCTGAATGTGTTATCAAAATAAGCGATGACTTTAATCCATCGTTTGGCTCTATTGTATCTTACTTTCAATTCGAAAGGTGCTGTTCACGTGTATGTCTTTTGTACAATCTTAGAACAAATAAATGATCTAAGATTGTTAAGCCAATCGCAATAGATATTTATGGTTTTTTTAAATTCTTTTTCAAAGGCATTTCAAAGTATTTTCCATGTATTAGAATTTTCTTTCATTCCTATTTGTGTAATGTCACTCTACATGTTTGCTGGATGTTTGCCTTTCACAACCTTGTGAGAAGTATCTCGACTACTTTTATTTACAATATAGTTTTTCAACCACAGAGTAAACCAAGAGAGTTCTTCCATATCTACATCATGACGAATAGTTAGGTAGACTCTTGTTTTATCTCTCATTCGTATATCATTTCTTTTCCACGTTAAATCTTGTCTTACATATAAGCTTTTTCTCTTCTTTTGAATCTCTATGACCCGGGACATATATTGTCGCCAAGTAATTCCAACTGGAAGTCATTCTTCAATAAATGAATTATTGGAGAGGCGTTTGTTTATACATGAGTTTTTTTGTTCACTCAAAGTTACCGTTAATCGTCTGGAGGTTTCATTACTAAAGCTGGCCGCTGGTGGATTTCTTAGCAGTTTTCATTGGTTCAGCTGAGAGTTGAGCTTGGGTCTGAGTTTTAAGCGACTCAACTCAAAACTCAAGCTCAACCAATCAAAAATAGCGTCATGTTGTTCTGCAAGTGATTTCCAAGTATGACGTCATTGGTTGGCTGAGCTTGAGTTTGAGAGTATGTCGACATCGCTTCATGCGTCAGGACCAGGACCTCCTTCATATTAACAGGTTGTGTTAAGGTGTTGACAGTTTTCAGTCTCACTTAAAGATTGGCTCTGAAGTTTTTATTTCGTAAGTGGTTTGTTATCTATGGTTTAACACTGAAAAATAAATTCGGTCATTAATGTAGGAGGGCAATGTTAAAATAACTCTTATCATCAAGGAAGCGTTTTACTACGGAAATCATATTGGCTTGAACAAAGCAGTAAGACTCGGATTAGAATCGTAACCCGACATGTCGTGTCCCTCTTTGTGAAGCGATCCTTCGAGCGACTGGGATACATGTTTTTGATATATTTTGTTATTGTTACCACCCCTAGAGGAAACCTTGATTTTTCGTCGATGTTGCCAACCCTAGAGGGTAACTTTAATATTTCTCGATGTTGCCAACCCCAGAGGGTAACTTTAATATTTTGTCGATGTTGCCAACCCTAGAGGGTAACTTTAATATTTTGTCGATGTTGCCAACCCTAGAGGGTAACTTTAATATTTTGTCGATGTTGCCAACCCTAGAGGGTAACTTTAATATTTTGTCGATGTTGCCAACCCCAGAGGGTAACTTTAATATTTTGTCGATGTTGCCAACCCCAGAGGGTAACTTTAATATTTTGTCGATGTTGCCAACCCTAGAGGGTAACTTTAATATTTTGTCGATGTTGCCAACCCCAGAGGGTAACTTTAATATTTTGTCGATGTTGCCAACCCTAGAGGGTAACTTTAATATTTTGTCGATGTTGCCAACCCTAGAGGGTAACTTTAATATTTTGTCGATGTTGCCAACCCCAGAGGGTAACTTTAATATTTTGTCGATGTTGCCAACCCTAGAGGGTAACTTTAATATTTTGTCGATGTTGCCAACCCTAGAGGGTAACTTTAATATTTTGTCGATGTGTCAGTTCTTTGCGGAAATTTTTGAATTTCGTCGATCTTTCACCCGAAGAAAAAATAGTATTCATATTCCTCAGAAAAAGTAAAAGGAAAACAGTAGAATTCTACATTTTGCATTTTTTCACACCTTTCATTGATACTGATTTCAATTTGTCCCTCTATATGTTTGCTCTGTTTACATTATTCTGCTGAATGGCATGCTCTTATATCTAGATACAGAAACAGCCTTCAGATAATTTAATTATAAGTAAACAAATGTATCACAAGTTAACCTTCACATTAACAGTTAGTTGCCTAGGTTATATTCAATAACGACATTGTTGTTATCGTTCCTTCAATCGACCGTAATTCTCTCTAGGAGGATTGATATTTACGCTACACGAATGTGCAACTGAAGTTGTGATTTTTACTCGTTTAAAAAATCATTTATATTTTCTATGTAAAGCATCACATTTCAGTGCCGAAGAAGCTATAAAGAGTTTTCATTGTAATCATGTTAAACCCTCATCTTCAAGGTAAATAATCATCGACCTCGTACATTGCTGTAAAACTGCTGTATGTGATTGCAGTTTCCCTTGGGTCGATTACACGAACAACATCAAAAATACAAATGAAGTATATTTACTCGAATGGTAGAAAATATGGAACTCTGAACGAAAGACGCAAATAACAGATGTTATCCTCTGAGGATATGGCATCGCCATTGTGAAACGACTACTGTGATCGAGAGAAAGCCTTGAAGAGATGGACTTCTGGCGTCGTGACACCTCATTCTTCATGGAACATAACACAATCGTTATATAGCATCAATCAGTTCAGGGTTGATCTAGACTAGCTATATATATCTATAAATTTTCATCAACTGTGATGTTTCTTGTGAGATATTTCAGAGTTCCCATCTGAAACAATAGGAAATGGGATCTCGATCCAAAGGATGTATCGATTACACATGTCATCTACAAATTCGGTTAAGCCTGCAGTGCTGTACGGAATTCATTGGAATGCAGACAGCGTAAAAATCAGTGCGGTTATTATCGAATTTAAATGTTCATTTGAAATTTAATATTTGCATCATTTTGTAACCTACTTAGTACATGTACAAATCCATATCAATACGAAGAGATACAATAAGAAAAGTATAGGGAAAATAGCGTCACTACCTTAGGTCAAGGGCTTGTACTAAGGAATACAATAAGAAAAGTATAGGGAAAATAGCGTCACTACCTTAGGTCAAGTGTAAGTACTAAGGGATACAATAAGAAAAGTATAGGGAAAATAGCGTCACTACCTTAGGTCAAGTGTAAGTACTAAGGAATACAATAAGAAAAGTATAGGGAAAATAGCGTCACTACCTTAGGTCAAGTGTAAGTACTAAGGATACAATAAGAAAAGTAAGGGAAAATAGGTCACTACCTTAGGTCAAGTGTAAGTACTAAGGAATACAATAAGAAAAGTATAGGGAAAATAGCGTCACTACCTTAGGTCAAGGGCTTGTACTAAGGAATACAATAAGAAAAGTATTGAGAAAATAGCGTCACTACCTTAGGTCAAGTGTAAGTACTAAGGGATACAATAAGAAAAGTATAGAGAAAATAGCGTCACTACCTTAGGTCAAGTGTAAGTACTAAGGGATACAATAAGAAAAGTATAGGGAAAATAGCGTCACTACCTTAGGTCAAGTGTAAGTACTAAGGAATACAATAAGAAAAGTATAGGGAAAATAGCGTCACTACCTTAGGTCAAGTGTAAGTACTAAGGGATACAATAAGAAAAGTATAGGGAAAATAGCGTCACTACCTTAGGTCAAGTGTAAGTACTAAGGAATACAATAAGAAAAGTATAGGGAAAATAGCGTCACTACCTTAGGTCAAGGGCTTGTACTAAGGAATACAATAAGAAAAGTATAGGGAAAATAGCGTCACTACCTTAGGTCAAGTGTAAGTACTAAGGGATACAATAAGAAAAGTATAGAGAAAATAGCGTCACTACCTTAGGTCAAGGGCTTGTACTAAGGAATACAATAAGAAAAGTATAGGGAAAATAGCGTCACTACCTTAGGTCAAGGGCTTGTACTAAGGAATACAATAAGAAAAGTATAGAGAAAATAGCGTCACTACCTTAGGTCAAGTGTAAGTACTAAGGGATACAATAAGAAAAGTATAGAGAAAATAGCGTCACTACCTTAGGTCAAGTGTAAGTACTAAGGGATACAATAAGAAAAGTAAAGGGAAAATAGCGTCACTACCTTAGGTCAAGGGCTTGTACTAAGGAATACAATAAGAAAAGTATAGGGAAAATAGCGTCACTACCTTAGGTCAAGTGTAAGTACTAAGGGATACAATAAGAAAAGTATAGAGAAAATAGCGTCACTACCTTAGGTCAAGTAAGTACTAAGGGTACTAAGGAATACAATAAGAAAAGTATTAAGTATAAGAAAAGTATAGAGAAAATAGCGTCACTACCTTAGGTCAAGTGTAAGTACTAAGGGAATAAAATAAGAAAAAGTATCAAGTGTAAGTACTAAGGGATACAATAAGAAAAGTATAGAGAAAATAGCGTCACTACCTTAGGTCAAGTGTAAGTACTAAGGGATACAATAAGAAAAGTATTGAGAAAATAGCGTCACTACCTTAGGTCAAGGGCTTGTACTAAGGAATACAATAAGAAAAGTATAGAGAAAATAGCGTCACTACCTTAGGTCAAGTGTAAGTACTAAGGGATACAATAAGAAAAGTATAGAGAAAATAGCGTCACTACCTTAGGTCAAGTGTAAGTACTAAGGGATACAATAAGAAAAGTATAGAGAAAATAGCGTCACTACCTTAGGTCAAGTGTAAGTACTAAGGGATACAATAAGAAAAGTATTGAGAAAATAGCGTCACTACCTTAGGTCAAGGGCTTGTACTAAGGAATACAATAAGAAAAGTATTGAGAAAATAGCGTCACTACCTTAGGTCAAGTGTAAGTACTAAGGGATACAATAAGAAAAGTATTGAGAAAATAGCGTCACTACCTTAGGTCAAGTGTAAGTACTAAGGGATACAATAAGAAAAGTATAGAGAAAATAGCGTCACTACCTTAGGTCAAGGGCTTGTACTAAGGAATACAATAAGAAAAGTATAGAGAAAATAGCGTCACTACCTTAGCTAAAGCGCAACTGAAAAATGTTACATATTGAATTATATCGTTATCTCTATTGTAACAATGAGAGGTGTATTTGTTTATGTCAGGGCCTGAGATAGAACTTTCAAATATTCAGAATCCGATATTTTAACTAACGTGTTTTAATATGTTTCATCCTTTTCTCTCTTTATTTTAATGCCTTTTCACTACCTACCATTTATCAAGTCTTTAAACCGACCAGTAACACACTATTGCTGGCGAGCCTTTGATGAGAATAAAAAAAATCAACTGGGTTACATTTAGTTACGTTACTAACAATCACTGACTTTTTTTTTCGGCCTGGCATCTTTCCGTGGACAACAAAGCGAAAAAATTAAATGCCAGGTATAAGCCACCATAGTTTATGGTTAGGAACATTGCCCAGGTTTTTTTCCGTTTGGTTTGTACACCTTTCTACATAATTTATAAGAAATGTTACTAAAAACTTATAACAGAAACACACGAAAAGATACAAACATATGCATTTTATCTTATACCTACGTTTTTCGTCTTGACAGATCTACCGAAGGTAAATATCTCTCAGTCACTCAGCATTGTTAACACGAGCGATTCTGTTCACGTGACGTGTCGAGGTGAAGGTCAGCCTCCGCCAATAGTGGAATGGGACGTATCCCGGCTGAAGTCTAATTACTCTATTCAAACTTCGGACGACAGACAGACACAGAACCTGACCATCTTGTCAGCAAGTCCATTGGATAGTGGAGACATACCATGTAGTTCAAGAAATGTAGCCGGAAAGGTCATAGAAGAGATGAGATTCACAGTCAATTGTAGGTTTGATACGAGACACATTCGATACCATTGTAAAGCATTTACACTTTAGCAATTGTCATATATCTTAGATCATAGATCTTACAATCATTTTGTTCAGAATTTCTTGTAAACACTACGCAGTTTTATGAGTACCACTGCACCCATAATTCTACATCTTTTCGTTTTCTATATATCCGTGTATATATGTAAGTGTCTCTAAGGTATAGAGTTAAGACAGAAAAGTATATATTATTGGCTATGACAGAATTTAATATATATTTTATGTTTCAGCTGCTCCAAAAATCACCAAGCTAACTAAACCAAAACCGAATTTCTACTATTGTATAAATTACGAAATAATTGGATATCCAAAACCAGAAGTCACGTGGTATCACAGAGGGAAAAAACTCGTTATGACAAACAATCTCTTTGATGATAACGAAAACATGAATAGTATCAATAACATAACCGGATGTCTGACGTTCACAATGAAAGTTCCCAAAAACAACGGAATATATACTTTAGTTGCCATTAATGAATTTGGAAATGACTCCCGGGAAATCAATGCTGATTTCGAGTTTGTAGGTAAGTATTGAAGATTGATGTTAATTTCTATCGCTACTTTAGAATTCAAACGAGGCCTTTCACTTCACATAAATTAATACCATGAATCAAGATAGCAAATCATGGTCACATTTTATATATCTTTTGTGCAGTTATGGAAACAGTTATGAATATTTATTGATAATTACATTCAGATTTTGTATATGCAAGAGAATAAAAGAGAATTTGTTTTCTAAACGTAGCGGAATCAACTGTTCAGTCCAGATAGATATATAATGGAGGCCATCTAAAGATTAAAAAAACTGAAATTATATCGTTGGTCGGGCATTCCGCATGAGCGTAAAACTGAATCTGAATTTATGATCTGAACACTAACACAATGAATGTCTCATGTAACAGTTAAAAGTATTTTTACGATTTCACGGAGAAACAGGTCAAGTGAAATAGATAGTAACCATGGATATTTCCAATACAATTTGTTTGAATTCAATATCACTTGATAAATCATACGATCGTTCCCAACATTAAAGATGTTACTTTTTTCGGTCAAATTGAGAATCAATATCGGTGTGGACATCTTATATAGTTGCTAATCGAAATTGTTGACTTTAAATGTTTTCTGTAATACATGTGCTAATAGAGACTTACAGTACATTTGACAAGAGTATCAACAACGGAATTCATGAAAATGCCAACAACGCCGACGTAAAAAGTCGATAAAACGGAATCAAAACACGAACAACAAAGATTTACGCTTTAGTGATCCCATGAAGACAATGCCCTGTACACGGATAATAGGGCATATCGTCGAGACGGAATGATTTTAATGATCGAATTAGGTGCTAAGATCTTCCAACAAACAATTGGTATTCCTATGGGAACAAACATTGCCCCTTTTAATGATTCCAGGTAGAATATCCCTCTTCTATTTACAGTATAAATAGGACGAGTTTAATGTTCGTAATCCAACCTGGTGGTTCCGTTGTTGCTCATTGTCCTTTTCCGGGAACTTCACTCTACTTATTTGGATTAACCAATGTTTACATGGCAGGTGTCATCGTTAAAGCAGACGTGTTTTGTTGCTCATTAATTTGCTAGCTGGCTCCATACTTTGTTGTACTAAATTTAAAATTTAAAATTGTCTTTGTTCAGTCGCCTTAGATTCATTTTGATAACAAGATTTGAATAACGAAATCACAAGGCGTTATATTACGCAGAAAAAGATTTTTTTCTCCTTGAGATCAGTCTGCATCCATGTGTTGTCAGTGTATCCGTCAGCTTTCGACATAGTCAACGGAAATCATGGTATATGCAACAAGCCCTTAAATGTCTTGTAATATTGTGAAAACACGAAAGGTAGGGGACGGGAATATCGCATTGCGGGAATAGAAAATTAAAAATAGAAGATCGCTATCACAGATTGGTAGAAAGATGTTCGTCTTGGTTTCGATGTAGGAAACGATCGCGGTAAGTGGGTAACGAAACAGAATAAAGTGTCATTGATTCCTTTTTATTTATAGTTTAAAGACATTGGAGAACATTGCAGTGTCTTTGTGATCTGTTTTGAATAAATTCAGTCTTGCAAGTAAACAAAAGCAAGTCAGTCAAGGGCAGAGCAAAGGTCGTTCCCATGAGTATTCGCATTGTAATTGTATGAAAGTGAGCATTCATAATTGTAAGAACATGTAATTACCAAGTTTCGTTTCAATTTCGAAGATTTGAAATTTGCATCAATTTGTGAAACTCATCCCGTATACACAAGGTGTCCAATATCAGGGATTAGATAAATTCATACAACATGCTGTAATGACAAGTAAACAAAGTTTTAACCCGAAACACTTATTTATAACGCAAGAGAGCAGGGGCATCAAAACAAGCTATATTACGAAATCAAATATGTCAACACAAAATCCCAGAGAAAATTAGATTGACGAAGTGCATGCTGATATACGGAATCAAATTTAAACATCAAACCATGCCGTGGATAATTAATTCAAATCTAGGCACAAACAATTATCACAGACTGATGCATAATTAAAGCCCAAATTTAATTCAAGATTAGGTAATGCGTACAAATTTGGTCCAGTTACAACAGTAAGGCTAGTCAGAAAGTATATTAGTTGTCGTTGATAACTAGGTAAAATCCCAACATTGTTGTCTGCTGGTCAGTCTGGATCAAGTCTACAAGTTTACAGAGAAAGCTATCAAAGTCACCATTAGCTTTCAGCCTGCTAAGGGAAAAAACAAACAATAATCTTTCTAATTAGGGAAATTGGCATTTTTGTCGTACACATCCATTGGGTAGCGATCCAGTTCATCCAAATGTAGTAAGGGTGCAGGAAAATGTTGGTACAGCGTCATGAAAGTGATCGAATCTATATAGTTCAATGGATTCTATCCGATCAGTCTGACTGAATATTACAGTTGTCACCTATCCATTCCTACAGCCAACACAGTCCGATACTGTTTACATTCAAATCACGAAGAATCCTTTGGGTTTTTTATTTTTAGTTTCCAAAATTAATCAGCTATCTTTTGATATTTATTTGTTACATCTTATCAATGAATCTGGAAAGATTGAATTGTGCGAGAATAAGAAAATAATTGAAAATACGGGAAAATTGTTAATAAGAGGACCTATTCAAATGCAGCCTTTGTTTGGCATCATATTCAACTAGAAACACAAGCTGGTTTATCCAGCCTCGTCCTTTTTCTCATTCATGAGAGGTCAGCGGTACATAAATAAGGAGTAACTAGAACATTGTTGGCTTGTGTCCATTTAAAATGTATACCAGGTTGCCTCAGGTACTGCTTTTATGTATTAAACCGTCATTAACTCTGTCTGGTTGCTTTCATCGGTATTGGAGAACGTGACATGCTTAAGGCAGTCTTCAGATATCGATGAAAAAGGTATAACTGAATGTTTTCCGAGGCGTGACGTCATAAAATGCGATTACATAGGTGATTTTTAGTGGTATTTGGGCTCTAAAAACAAAGTAATGCTTTGACAGAGTTGAAATGGTGTGTGATAAAAATTTAAATTTATTTCGATGATATATTGTTTTACAATTAAATGTAAATAGTTACATGTGCACATTGTAAACGCAAATATTGGACGGTACATTAGACTAGTCCCGCAGTATGTTCACCATCATGTAAAGGCTAGGAAATATCGAGTACATTGAAAGGATGTGGATGTAGCTGGTCATACACTGTTCTAATAACGATTGTCTTTTTCAGGGTCTAAACATGGCGGTTCATACAAAGGTGGTATACCACCATTTAATATGAAACCACCACAAACTAATAGCTACAACGACAAAGAACCATGGAATGGACCACAACTAGAAACAGCCAGCAACGACACGCTCATCGTACGTATACATGGAAGGAGACTTTGTTTTCTCGAATTAGGCTTGTCATTTCTATTCTACATTACGTGATATTTCCTTTCCACTGATATGTATTCGAGTTGCATGCATCTTTTCTTGAAAATGGCATTCATAACCCTCGTTACATTATCAGTATTTTGTTTACCTGCCTGTAAAGCGAAGGAATTGTATTTGTTGTCTCCATAACGTGATTTGTACGAGGCGACTACAGTTGGGATCTGATCTTTTTGAATAATGCATGGTCGATCTCATTGGGAAATATTCTATTTCTGTGTGTAATATGAAGCTGGATGTATTTAATGCTCGTTTGTTGGTTCTGTTGTTGCATACCTTGGTTTCTTTTGAGAACGTAACACTACTGACTGGCTGCGTAACAAGGCAATTTTTATATTAACTTCTTATACACTTGTTTTTTCGACAGATTTACATTGGAACTGGGTCGGCATTACTGGCAGTATCTGTCCTTGTTGTAATCGTCGTATTCATCATACGTAACTTCCGCCGGAAGTTGGCTCGACAGACTACGGAGACTCAGTTCGCATCCAATGGATCACGCCGTCCTCTGCTACAAACCACGAACCAGAGTTACCAGCACACGCGCGTTGTGGCACAGGAATCGATGCCAATCCGTGCACACACTGTCGTAGAAAATCCTCATTATGGCCAGAAGAACGTCAGACTGAAAAATGAAACGTGTAAGTACAAACAAATAGTTCTTTTCAGTTTCCGTACTTCAAATAGTGATTGGGACTTTTTGTTCCGAAAATTGCGCCTTCAACATTTAAACTTCCGGTTTAAATCTTTTTGTATCTGGAGCAGTGATGTTTCCTTGCAGTACAAAGTAAAAATAACCTTTGAAAGGGGTTGAATTATATATGCTAGTGCTGAATGATAAAATTAACTGCATTATAAAGATATTGTTCAAGGATTCGTCCGGAATGCAAAGGGCTGAATCTGTGGAAGCTTTTATTTATTTGGTGGAAATGACTTTTTGTTGTAATTATAATATCACAAAAAGAAATAAGATATTTCTCTGGGAAGTAGCGTTATTACTTAGATCGATGTGTCTACCGTATGTCATTGCATATGTCAGCTATCGACATATGTTAAATTGAGACATTGGAAGCAATTGAATATCAAATCAATCGCAAAAAGCAGTACAATATGTGATATGAAGATATCCACTATCAAGAAATCTATAATTCACTATTAAGACATCGAAACCCTAATGGTAGTTATGCAGCCTTTTGGAAAACTGTTTTTATTACAATTCCTGGTGGGTACTCATGATGGACATCGGTGATAAGCTCCAATACATCATCATTATATCTGGATTTGGCAATGAATACTTGACAAGGACTTTGTGGCCTGGTTTGATAGGCTCGTCATTCTTTCTGCTCTAAAAACAAAATAGCCAAAAAACGGGCACAGTTTTCTCCTACAGGTTTACCAATATTCTGTCGATAGGTCTTGCCACCAAGTATCAGCCAGAAATGGGATCTTTTTTGTAATTTCATCAACAGTTCATTTCTTCTTGGCTTCAGATGCACTTTTCATAAAATGCGTTCAAGTAGAGACCACAACCATAACTTTGTTTGTACTGTTATTTAAGGAACAGAATTGGAAAAATCAAACGTATTTAACAAAAGAAGAATATCTGATGAACATACTTGTATATGCTTAAAATGAAACCGTAAACGTCAAAGCTATTGGTCATTCCACAAAAAGCAACAGAAACATAGCCAACTATGTAACATATCAATGTAATATCGTTCTTTTTGTTACGTTTTCAAATTTGATCTTTGATATTTATTTGTTGGATTTTGTTGCTTAACAACCTTTTCATTAACATTTTCTTGGCACTAAAGACCGCTCTGGTGTAAATGGGCGGTTAAGAATATATGCTCCCCATCTTGAAAAGCAGAAGACACAATCGTTCATGTAAAATTAGTTTATTTTGTTTGTTCCGTTGGTTAGCACAACCAATTATGTATGGTTGGAATGCTGATCTGTTCCACACTATCTGAAATCACACATAACAAACAATAATACATCAATGACGTCACGTGTTTTACGTTTGCAAAATGAACATAGCTGAAAAATATTTCTCTATCAACGAAAACAAAATCACGATTCTTAACCTAATGTTGTAGACAAATAGGACATGTATCAACTATCCTCCTGTGGATTGCATTGTACAGAAAACTTAACATTGGCAGGTGCGATGGTCACCCAGACAATATTGATTTCAAGAACAAATTATCGCTACATTTTATCACATCTGCGCGAGTTTTCCTTTAATTACTACATGTATATTTTTATATCTGCGTGGTGAGCAGATCGACGAATATCGTCAGTCCAGTTTTATAACAAGTAGGATTCCATGTGTTTCAGTATACCTATGTACTAAAGTGACACGCATTCATTATATGTGTCCCAGGGAACATTTCACTTCAAAATGGGCATATTTGATCAATTTTGAAATTCATTGTAAAACAAGCTCTTGAAATAAATCATGAACTTGTCAGCGTACTTTCGATTGTCATCGGTCTTTATCTTTAATTGTGTTGATACAGAAGAGGGCCTCAGAAGAATCACCCTGTTAAAAGATTATAAGCTTGTGTACAGAACCATGTATGAGTTATTATTACAGATGGTTAGCAGTGGGGAGATTTGTTGTATCGTTGTGTCATTGCTCATTTTTCATTATTATTGTACACACAATAATGCTGAAAGATCTTTCCCTTTTTAATTTCAGCTATTCGACATATACGTCTTGATAATTTGACATTTCTTCACGAGCTTGGTGAGGGTGCCTTCGGACGTGTTTTTCTCGGCACGTGCATCAATCTGACAGCGGACGCCGAAGTGACTACAGTGGCAATTAAAACACTTAAGGATACGTCAGTCGAGGACTGCAAGGCCAATTTTGATCGAGAAGCAGAGTTGCTGACTAATATTTTACATGAAAATATCGTTATGTTCTATGGTGTGTGCTGTGAAGGAGATAACTTCATGATGATATTTGAGTACATGGAAAATGGAGACTTGAACAATTACCTCAGGTAAATTCAGGCTGGAAGTTGCTCGCTCTTCACTTGTTTGTTGATCATTTTAGGTTGGAGCTGGTAGACTAGTGAAATTCAGTTCCCAGAAGTTTGCAATATCATACACATATATGTACTTGTATACTTCTGGAATAATCAGAAATATTTAAATAACGAAAATTATTGAAATACGGGGCTAGAACACCTCTTTATCTAGATTTTTTACTTTTCTTTTCGATCGCTTTGGGTCTTTATCAGTAGCCTCCTAGGCTTCATAAACTAGGCCCATGACATCATTAATGAATCCTAGAAGGACGAAACAGCTCTATGGTTTAGTTTAATTAACATATTTCCTCTGCGGTATCTAACTCGTAATGTATGTTAGAAGATATATGTTTTATCATCTGTATGCTGCAGTCTAATTCATTAGTTGAGTGCTTTGGAGATCATTCAATATTTTGAAATTTATTGAATATCATCGTTCATAATTAAAATAATTTTAAGTGTTCACCTATCTGTTTGATTCATTCTATTTGCCTACTAGATATTAATGATATATAGGTTCTTAGCATCACTGACGAGCCCTAGAGAACGAAATAGCAGTGTGATGTAGTTTAATTCATTCGTAAATATGTTGTACCTTATTCTAAATTTATGCTGAAAGGATCTATAACCTTGTGTTTCGCTCTCCTGTGTAAATTAATCTTGACCTTCAAGGTGCTGTGTTTTCTTTGTTCCTGTGTGATCGTAGTAGCTACTTTACTGGGTCCTTTTTTACAGCGATCGTTCCAACAGAGAGGTGTGTGGGCGGTAAAGTGGTGCGCTTGGGATGTCAAAGTTTAATGTCACTTTTGAGGAAAGCATGATGTCTTCAAAATACATATAATCTTGCTATTGCAGTACGTGTAAATCTTCTTACAGAGAAACGGGTTGTCTTGCTTTTATTATGCCAATCATTTAAGTAATAAATACCGACATGTCAGTAGAACCTCCATTCAAACTCGACAAAACTTAACAAATCTTAATAAAGATTTACACGAAGACTTTTAGAAGTTTACAATGAGAATATAACAAGTCGTTCCTGAAGGGTAACCATCTTTTGCTTCCGCGATCCGCCATATAAATGTTGTTTTTGTTTATTATTGTTCTTGTTTCTTAATAACAAAAAGTCATTGATTAAGAGATTTGCTTCATGAAATATCATACAAAACGATATTCAGTTAAACAAACAAACAAACAAATACAGACGTAACAGCAAACCAATCATTTAAACAAAAATCGATTAATGGAACCGGAAATAGGAAGAACGGAAAGATTTACAAATGAAATTGAAAAAAAAAATCTGTTCATTGCTTGGCAAAACCTCGCCATTGCTTTCCAACTCATTGGTTATACTTTATCTGTTGTTGGATGAATTAAAAAGTAAATACAGCATTATTTTTATCCTTTTTTATTTTCATTTATTCCTCACAAAAATCATTTTGGCGTGTTTGAAAATCTTTATATCTGTCAATGAGTTTTGAATCCTAGATATTACGAGTTTCGTTGTTTTGGTTGGTTATAGAAGTCATGGACCAGACGCAAAATTAATGTCAAAACGAGCTGGAAGCCTAGATACCCTATCCAAAACAGAGTTGCTTCACATTTCAAACCAAATAGCCACTGGTATGGAATACTTGGCGTCCCAACACTTCGTCCATCGAGACCTAGCCACCCGGAATTGTCTAGTGGGTGACAAGCTCATTGTTAAAATAGGAGACTTCGGAATGTCTCGTGATGTTTACAGCACTGACTATTACAGGGTGAGTACAAGACCGTATAGAGCGTTGCACTATCCCAATTATCTACGTCTATGTGAATTAAGTGAATTATCCTATTTTTTATTTTTATCAATTTTATTTATATTTAATTTTATAGATCGATAATCTACTTTGTAAATCCATAAATATTTTCACGTTTTATATTCAAGTACAGATCACCACCCGCAAATTTGATTCATTTCATAACACTCTTTAAATATTGGTAACATATTGCATTGTTTATTAACGTTTCTAGTGTGTACATTAAAGTTTTGTGTAACATAGGAGGTGAACATTACCTGTGGTATGTTAAACAGATATGATGTGTTAACTATATACTGAGAGTTTTGTGTAACATAGAAGGTGAACATAACCTGTGATAAGTTAAACAGATATGATGTGTTAACTATATACTGGGAGTTTTGTGTATCATAGGAGGTGAACATTACCTCTGATATGTTAAACAGATATGATGTGTTAACTATATACTGAGAGTTTTGTGTAACATAGAAGGTGAACATAACCTGTGATATGTTAAACAGATATGATGTGTTAACTTTATACTGGAAGTTTTGTGTAACATAGAAGGTGTACATTATGTTTAACAGATATGATGTGTTAACTATATACTGAGAGTTTTGTGTAACATAGAAGGTGAACATTATGTTAAACAGATATGATGTGTTACCGTATTTGTCTGCGAATAACAGGTCGGTGGATCTGCTATGCTCCCTGTCCGATGGATGCCACCAGAATCTTTACTCTATAGAACTTTCACCGTGGAGTCGGACGTCTGGAGTTTTGGAGTTGTTTTATGGGAAATATTCACATATGGGAGACAGCCCTGGTATGAGCTGTCCAATCATGAGGTAAGACGAAAATGAAATATCGAATTGTAAGGTAAGATGAAAGTGAAGTATCTAATCATGATGTAAGATGAAAGTGAAATATCCAATCATGATGTAAAATCAAAGAGAAGTATCCAATCATGAGGTGAGATGAAAGTGAAGTATCCAATCATGAGATGAGATGAAAGTGAAGTATCCAATCATGAGATGAAATGAAAGTGAAGTATCCAATCATGATGTAAGATGAAAGTGACGTATCCAATCATGAGGTGAGATGAAAGTGAAGTATCCAGTCATGAGATGAGATGAAAGTGAAGCATCAATCATGAGGTAAGATGAAAGTGGAGCATCCAATCATGAGGTAAGATGAAAGTGGAATATCCAGTCATGAGGTGAGATGAAAGTGGAGCATCCAATCATGAGGTGAGATGAAAGTGAAATATCAAGTCATGAGGTGAGATGAAAGTGGAGTATCCAATCATGAGGTGAGATGAAAGTCGAGTATCCAATCATGAGGTGAGATGAAAGTGAAATATCCAGTCATGAGGTGAGATGAAAGTGGAGTATCATGATGTAAGATGAAAGTGAAGTATCTAATCATGATGTAAGATGAAAGTGAAGTATCGAATTGTAAGGTAAGATGAAAGTGAAATATCCAATCATGATGTAAGATGAAAGTGGAGCATCCAATCATGAGGTGAGATGAAAGTCGAGTATCCAATCATAAGGTGAGATGAAAGTGAAATATCCAGTCATGAGGTGAGATGAAAGTGAAGTATCATGATGTAAGATGAAAGTGAAATATCCAATCAGGAGATGAGATGAAAGTGAAGTATCATGATGTAAGATGAAAGAGAAATATCCAATCATGTGGTGAGATGAAAGTGAAGTATCCAATCATGTGGTGAGATGAAAATGAAGTATTCAATCATGTGGTGAGATGAAAGAGAAGTATCCAATCATGATGTAAGATGAAAGTGGAGCATCCAATCATGAGGTGAGATGAAAGTCGAGTATCCAATCATAAGGTGAGATGAAAGTGAAATATCCAGTCATGAGGTGAGATGAAAGTGAAGTATCATGATGTAAGATGAAAGTGAAATATCCAATCATGAGGTGAGATGAACGAGAAGTATCCAATCACGTGGTGAGATGAAAATGAAGTATCCAATCATGTGTTGAGATGAAAGTGAAGCATCCAATCATGAGGTAAGATGAAAGTGAAGCATCCAACCATGTGATGAGATGAAAATGAAGTATCCAATCATGTGATGAGATGAAAGTGAAGTATTCGATCATGTGGTATTAAGAAACCATTACTTTGTATATCAAATATACCGCATTTATGGTGTCTTGTTGTAAGGCCGATGACAACAGAGGGTATTTGAAACCCTCTCCTTAATCCTGTTTAGCATAAATACTGTCAATCTGTAATTTGCTGTGGTGCCTACTAGATGTGTCTGTATGACTTAAGCGACGTTATTCTAGGCAATTGGTGTGTTCTACTTTTAATCTACCTCCTGAATACTACAGGCATATTGAACGTTGGTAGAGATACACTCCGACTAATCGAATTGATAAACAGAGAAAAAGAAAACATTGTTTTACCAAACACGAAATCAATGTAAACATGTATACGTGTATTTAATGTTATAGAGCCAAAGGTATGGAAATCCAATCGAAAATATTCAAATTTATGTAGACACTGCATTATCAAGCTGTTTGTTTTTAATTTCACTGAATTGAAATTCGGTCAAATTGACATTTTTGTCGTTAACAATGGAGAAGAGTGAACTACACACCAGGTCAGTAAACACATAGCTTAATCAAGCTATATTTGTGTTTTACAAAATCGTTGAGGGTTTGTATATGTATGACGTAATTTGTGTTTCTCAGGTTATCCGCCATATTACGGACGGAAGCCAACTGGAAAATCCCAGCACGTGCACGGACGAAGTCTATGCCATCATGCAGGGTTGTTGGGAACGTCAGCCACACGATCGCTTGTGTATGAAGGACATTAAACACAGGCTAGACAAGCTTTGTATGAGCCAGCCAACTTATCTTGACTTAATAGCTTGATGGCAGCTGAACAAGAACAGGAACATATGTGCAAGAAAGATGTGAACCATGATTTAGAAAAGAGAGTCTTTCATAGATACAGTCCTGAATTGAACGTGGACAACAGTAACACCTCGTTTGTATCCAGATCATTTGTTATCTCATACCTCTCTACCACTGATGTATGCTATGATCAACACTGTTGTCTAATGAAAATGGTAGTCCTGACACCACAGATAAGCACCTCACATTGTACATGTGCTATTTAAACCGAATGACCGGTCACAGCATGTTATATACGTTATAATAAGCATCGTTTTTGCAGCTTAGTTCCATGCCTTGATGCATAAGATAATTTCAATAAGTATGTCTAAGTTTTGTAACAGGTTACGGTCATCAGAATTTTTTAATCACAAAAGGACACTTTTGTTATCGCTTCATCCCTGTCCTAAAACTTTATAAGTGTCCTCCATCTTCCAAAAGAGAAATGTCTTGTTACTTTGGTGAATGTTTTTGATAATCGGTTAAACTTTTCACTCATTATTTTGAGTTTGTGATAAGTAACTACAGCTTCTGTCCAGATTTCCAAGATGATTCGAAATATCCGGACAGAGTGTTGCTGGAGGAAAAGACTTTGTAATGAAGAATTTGGTATACTTATTAAGATGTTGATAAGATGTCACATTTTACATAAGTTTATTGATGTCATGTTGAAAGAATACATTATTAGTTACATCCATTTTAAAGATGGATTCGTATCTTGTGAAACGGATACTGTTGTTACTATGTAGTACAAAATTATGTCCATTTGGTATGTGTTCACAATTACACGTGAAAATCACATGTTCATACCACAATTTATGTAATGGGGTTATAACGCTGAAAATAGATAATTAATTGATTTTCTGTACCTCGGAGAAGCAGAATTGTATAGACCAAGTGGTTCATGTTATTTAAGTAAGGTATTTTCTATGAGGAATTTGGATAGTTTTTAATCTTAATGTGTTGTCTTGGAGAACATTGTAGTTCTGAGGACGACAGTGCATCACATCTGCCGAAACATCATAAGACGGATGAAGTACCTAGACCAAAGGACAACACATCTTCTCAGATTTTACTGGAGAGATATAATAGCAAGACCACAGGGCGACACCTAATAATCTACTCAGATTATACCGGAGGGATATATTAGCTGGACTAGAGGGCAACACAACTACTAAGATTATACTGGAGGGATATAATAGCAAGACCACAGGGCGACACCTAATAATCTACCCAGATTATACCGGAGGGATATATTAGCTGGACTAGAGGGCAACACATCTACCCAGATAACTCTGTCGTGATATATTAGCTGGACTAGAGGGCAACACATCTACCCAGATAACTCTGTCGTGATATATTAGCTGAACTAGAGGGCAACACATCTACCCAGATAACTCTGTCGTGATATATTAGCTGAACTAGAGGGCAACACATCTACCCAGATAACTCTGTCGTGATATATTAGCTGATTATACTAGATTATACTAGTGAGTTTTAGTAGCTGGACTACTAGACAACACATCGTTCAGACAACACTAGAGATAAAGAGTGTTTTACACGAATATAGGACGACGGAAACCTTAGGAATATAGCACTTGAGATATATGTCAACACATCTATTCACGCAATACCATGGGGTTATGGTATATTGGTTAAAGGAGGACAAACCTACCATTGGAAACATGACAACACCCCTCTTTTCTTTCAACACTACAGAGATATATATTATTGATTACAGATCAACATACCCCCACCACCCAAGCAATAACTATTGGGATAAAGTCCTTTTATCAAAGGTCAGCACATCTAAAGATACCTGTAGAATCACGAAAATGGAGTAACAGATCTTTCAAAAATGCAAAAATGGATAGTTTCCGAGCGATTAGACAACACATCTCTCATGAATGTTTTGTTCTCGAACGACGGAAGGGCAACACTTCTCTCAAGCATGTTTAGTTCCCGGAAAATAGGGCAACACATAAACCATTGTCTTTATATTTTCCACTGTGATAATGCTTTGTCAGTGTATGTAGTTACGAAAGTCCAGTGCATTCACTTTCGTAGGGGAAAACAAGTTCGTTAGTTTCGGGATGTCACCTCATGGATACTCGATGTTAAGCTCAAGTGTTTTGTAATGCCGTGTTATTTCGCGAACTGTTGCGTTACTACGCAAAAAAGAAACTTCATTCCTTTTACGAAAATGAGCACAATTTGCGTTGGAAAAAAATGTTTGTGGTGAAAGCTGATAAAGGAGAAGTCTGCGTTTTAGTTAGTAAACTTAAAAGACTTCAAAGACACCACCACGAGATTAAGATGATAAATGTAATTGAAGATGTATGTTACTTAAGAAATGTATATAGAATTATTCAAAATGATAAAAACTGACATTCATTGATTGAAAAAATATGTTTCAATCATTCATTTCTACATCATTCAATGTAAATTGACAAAACGATGTCGTGAATGAGTGTGATATCGAAAGGTGGGGCTGGTGTATATCTAAAACATTTTATTAACAGGAAATGACGTCACTCAATTATTTTAGATGAGGCATGGATTCCAGCCTCGCACCTACATTAGGAGTGAGTTTTGGATATTCTTTTTTATTAACATATCCAATTATCATGTAACATCTACGTCATGGTAACAACCTCAACACCATGAACAGGATCGTAGATGGTGAGTGTAACAGGTCAGACATGTTTGTTTTCTGTAACTGGTATGGGCGCAGGTTTATGTTGTTAAATCGTTGTTATGTTATTGTGATAAAGTGGAAGTTTACATTCAAATTGTTTTGTTATATTGTTATCAGATTTTTTTATCAAATTATTCATAGAAGATGATGCTAACATAATGTCACCAGATACGTTTTAACTCTATAACAACTCCTTCACCACCCAAATAACAAGATTTTAATGTATACTAGTGATGTACTGGCGCCATTTTACTTGTCACTTGAATATTATGAAGGCTCTTTACTAAATTATTTTCTCGCTATCGTGTCCACAATGGCATCTCGTTCCGGCGATGTTAGCACAAAATGACAGGAGATGACATAACCTGATGCCAACGTCTGGTATTGATTACACAAAGTAGCTGACTTTACATGTTGTATTGTTCGGCTTTCCTGCAGTTTATATACATAACGACCAAACTGCACGAGTTCAAGGGGTTTAAACTGGAATTCAAGTTGAATTTTATTCAAGCTTTGCTAGTTTTAGGCCACAATTCAGTCTGAATACTCTAGCTATATCCTGATAGAGCATCAACAGGTAGTAACATGTAACAGGTAAATCCATGCTTTTTCCTGCTTTGAGATTTCCTTGTCTCATCCTAGGAATGAGACAAGCTACACGTGCGTGAAATAGCCTCATCCAAGGGTTGAGACAAGCTACACGTGCGTGGATTTGCCTCATCAAAAGGTTTGAGACAAGCTACACGTGCGTGGATTAGCCTCATCCAAGGGTTGAGACAAGCTACACGTGCGTGGATTTGCCTCATCAAAAGGTTTGAGACAAGCTACACGTGCGTTGATTTGTCTCATCCTAGGAATGAGACAAGCTACACGTGCGTGGATTTGTCTCATCCTAGGAATGAGACAAGCTACACGTGCGTGGATTTGCCTCATCAAAAGGTTTGAGACAAGCTACACGTGCGTGGATTAGCCTCATCCTCAATACACGTGCAAAAGGTTTGAGACAAGCTACACGTGCGTGGATTTGCCTCATCAAAAGGTTTGAGACAAGCTACACGTGCGTGGATTTGCCTCATCAAAAGGTTGAAGACAAGCTACACGTGCGTTGATTTGTCTCATCCTAGGAACGAGACAAGCTACACGTGCGTGGATTTGTCTCATCCTAGGAATGAGACAAGCTACACGTGCGTGAATTTGCTTCATCAAAAGGTTTGAGACAAGCTACACGTACGTTGATTGCCTCATCCTAATGTTGAGACAAGCTACACGTGCGTTGATTTGCCTTATCTAATGTTGAGACAAGCTAAACGTGCGTGGATTGCCTCATCCTAATGTAGAGACAAGCTACACGTGCGTGGATTTGCCTTATCTAATGTTGAGAAAAGATACACTTGCGTGGATTTGCCTCATCCTAGGGTTGAGACAAGCTACACGTGCGTGGTTTGCCTCATTCTAAAGTTTGAGACAAGCAACACGTGCATGGATTTGTCTCATACTATGGTTGAGACAAGCTACACGTGCGTTGATTTGCCTCATCCTAATGTTGAGACAAGCTACACATGCCTGGATTTGCCTAATCTAATGTTGAGACAAGCTAAACGTGCGTGGATTGCCTCATCCTAATGTAGAGACAAGCTACACATGCCTGGATTTGCCTAATCTAATGTTGAGACAAGCTACACATGCCTGGATTTGCCTAATCTAATGTTGAGACAAGCTAAACGTGCGTGGATTGCCTCATCCTAATGTAGAGACAAGCTACACATGCCTGGATTTGCCTAATCTAATGTTGAGACAAGCTACACGTGCGTGGATTTGCCTTATCTAATGTTGAGAAAAGATACACTTGCGTGGATTTGCCTCATCCCAGGGTTGAGACAAGCTACACGTGCGTGGATTTGCCTTATCTAATTTTGGGACAAGCTACACTTGCGTGGATTTGCCTCATCCTAGGGTTGAGACAAGCTACACGTGCGTGGATTTGCCAGTCCATGGTAAGAGGACCTCCCATCTCACCCTAAAGGGGGAAAATTATTAATCTTCAGTTTCGTTGTATCTCCTCGAATTACAGACGAATAAAAACAAACATGCACCAAAAAAATTGTAATTATGTAATGTTTTCATGTTTCTGAAAGTCTCCATCTGATATGTGATTAATTGATTGCGATGAAATATGACGTTTATGTATGAACCAGTTTTAATAAATAATTACAAATTAAACAGGTTCTTTGACGAGTTGCCAATAATTGAAGAACTTCATTTTACAAGTATTACAATATATAACTTGAAAAATCTATGGTGTCATCATCATCTGTGTTGGCTGGAATATCCTTTCGACCCTCCACCGCGTTGTGAAAGAAAGTCTGGAAAACTTTTGGGGTCATAGCAGGAGGGGTCTCCCCGCTTGTGAGATGAACATTTGGCGCCACTTCTTGTCTCTTTCTTTGGCGGTCTGGAATGAAATAGAAATTTAATTGACTGAACGCTCACTGAGGTTATTACTTTGTTGTATTTACATATCCTTTATGCTAAAAACCGGAAATCTGTAATTGAACAAGAATTTGAAATCTGGCAGTGTCTGTGACCTTAAGATCCCAGTCAAATGGACGCGAAACATTTTTTAATTATGATTCGTGGTGAAGTGGCTGTGTATACAAACTACCGTGAGCGGTTTATACAAGAGCCTTGTGACAGGTCATAAAAGTATCAGCAGTTCATATTTTGACTCGATCCACTCCTTCCCCATCTACTAGCTTGTAATAATACTGCTGTCATACTACCGCGGCAAGATGATGACATTTTGGTAGAACACTTCATGAGAACAGTCTTCAAAAATGGTAGTCTTCCTACTTAATGTTTAGAAGTAGTGAAGCGACTGGTTTGTCCGTTTTAATATGACCGGACGAAGCGTCCTGCTGGATGCCTAAGACATTAAGTGTCAGAGTGGTTACTAATAAGTTGGCTTCAGTTCCACACAATAGACCTCCTTAAACATATCGCTGTTCCGAAAACGTATGTATTCAGAAAATGCATTCACCCTGCATACGTTTAGAGATAATCCATAAATGATCATAGCTGTTGATATGACGTCCAAAACATGAACAAAAAAATTCAAACATTTTTTCAATCTCCCTGTTTGTAGTTATTCCTGTTTTATAGGTCAACATTAATGTGTAGGTCGGTGACTATGAGAAGCTGAATACGTATGGCCGTCAATTGGTTCGGAAAGGAAGATAACACTGTAAGGGATGCATGTATAGGATTAGAGACTTGTCTGAATATGTATGTCCGTCAATCAGTACGGGAAGGTAGATAACTCTGTAGGGGATGCATGTATAGGATTAGAGACTTGTCTGAATATGTATGTCCGTCAATCAGTACGGGAAGGTAGATAACTCTGTATGGAATGCATGTGTATGTCCGTCAATCAGTACGGGAAGGTAGATAACACTGTAGGGGATGCATGCATAGGATTAGAGACTTGTCTGAATATGTATGTCCGTCAATCGGTTCGGGAAGGTAGACAGCTCTGTATGGGATGCATGTATAGGATTAGAGACTTGTCTGAATATGCTGCAGTATGGACTTTACATACAAAAATGTTTTTTTATTTTACTCTAAAATTATTCTCATTAAGTATTATGGAGCAGGTGTAAACACAATAGCTCCTATATGTAAGACAATCTGATTACTCGTGATGAAGAATTCATATCGTTTATTTATAGAATGATAGGTTTATATAATCATCCATCTGATATCATAACCACACGATGCATTACAATCCGATTTCTTATACTAAAATTATAAAGATAGCATACTTCGATTCTGCTGTTTTCTGTTTCCAAATAACCCTCTCCGCTCCGACCTATTTCCTTCTTGATCTGGTTTTGTTCCTTCCTCTTGTAGCTCGGGCAGGTTTCCAGGATTGCTGGTGTCGGACTTGGTGCGTCGTTTCTATTGAATTTAAGTATTCAAATAAAACAGAGTCAACCAACCGTCAAGTTAGAACAAATGTAATCAACAGTTTACTTTGGACATTATAGAGATATTCCACTGAAAGGTCACAACATGTATCTGGGTGGATGATAGAGATATTCCACTGAAAGGTCACAACATGTATCTGGGTGGATGATAAAGATATTCCACCGAAAGGTCACAACATGTATCTGGGTGGATGATAGAGATATTCCACTGAAAGGTCACAACATGTATCTGGGTGAATGATAAAGATATTTCACATAAAAGGTCACAGCATGTATCGGGGTGAATGATAAAGATATTCCACCCAAAGGTCACAACATGTATCTGGGTGGATGATAAAGATATTTCACCCAAAGGTCACAACATGTATCGGGGTGAATGATAAAGATATTTCACCCAAAGGTCACAACATGTATCGGGGTGGATGATAGAGATATTTCACCCGAAAGGTCACAACATGTATCGGGGTGGATGATAGAGATATTCCACCAGAAAGGTCACAACATGTATCGGGGTGGATGATAGAGATATTCCAACCGAAAGGTCACAACATGTATTGGAGTGGATGATAAAGATATTCAACCCAAAGGTCACAGCATGTATCGGGGTGAATGATAAAGATATTCAACCCAAAGGTCACAATATGTATCGGGGTGAATGATAAAGGTATTCCACCCCAAAGTCACAACGTGTACCGGGGTGGATGATAAAGATATTCCACCCAAAGGTCGCAATGTGTATCGGGGTGAATGATTAAGATTTTCCACCCGAAAGGTCACAACGTGTGGACACTCCCACAATATTACACAGGTAGAAATGAGAGACATTTGTTTCGTTACTAAAAATTGAAACAAAACTTTACCATAAAACGGATGATCGCTCTAGATTGTACCACTAGTTTGCAGTTTTTGACATTTGCATGAAACTATAGTGTTGTCCGAGATTCAATAAAACTTAAACATCAATCTTCCGTCAACCTTTTACATTTCGCATGGTCAACCAGAGGGCGAAACTAACGGAAGTTAAACCCTGGCGAAAGGTTGCCTGTATATTACTTACCCATGAGAACATTTGGATAAATTTCTGCATGGAGTTAGTACTTCCGACGCCACTGTGACTTGCTGCTTTGGACAAGGTAATTCTTTTACTGTTCTCCGTACCTAAAATAACATTAAGATATCTTAAGGCCTGAATAACACATAGAAAATATCAGCTGGACACCCTGGTCGTCCGTTCTCTACGACAAGTAATGCACGTGGTTTTAATATAAAGATTGGAAGTCGTATTGACAGGCTAATCATAAGGTTACAGCAATGAAAGGGCTTTTCAACATCTAGCTACTTGCGTACGGACGCATTATGGATGGACGGACCACGAACTCAGGATTATTTGAACAGACATCATTAGATGATGGACGAACAATGCTGTCACGTCGTGAAACATTAAGATTCGATCATCAAGACATTGATTTGACATTTCAGACTCCAAAGTTTACAATGATTAAATAACATCCTTACACGTCTCAATAACCGGTTAGTTTTGCCCACTCTCAGTACTTGGGTGAATTAGAAAAACACTACAGCCGACCGTTTTTATTACTAGTACACTGTACCAACTACAGCCGACCGTTTTTATTATTAGTACACTGCACCGACTTAAGCCGACAGTTACCGACTACAGCCGACCATTTTTAGGCTAAACTTACTCAGTACGTACAGCCTAATGCGACGGCCTTTCAGACAAAATTTACCGATCCTGGCCTTCTCATTGGCTGAAATATCGAAAAGAGTTAGAGCCCTCTAGCGGCAATTTTCTGCGTAAATAATGCCGCGATCTTTCAAATCGCTATTTTAAAATCATCCACAATAAGTTTATGTTTTTAATAACAATACGATTACTATACATTTCAAAAAAGAAGCACAGTGTGGTTGAACTATTGATAAATTTTGAACAATATATTTTACGGAATTTGCTCACGGAAATCCCCGACCTCTGCTGTTGAAGAAGATCAAGCTGACGTGATTCTTCTCGCCTGCTGTGAATATTCCTAGAAAACAACCATATTAACCGTAAGCAGAGATACGTCTCTGCCGTAAGTAAGCAAAGAAATGGTTTCTTGTATCTTCAAAGTTTATTGTAACTGCATGATTTGATTTATAGTGTATTTACGGTATGACGGCTTATGAATCCTTCTCGACATGACGTAAGCGTACAGAACACTGAACGTGCGAGTTGGCGCCATGATAAGAAGCTAGTCTGGGGGCTTGGTTTGAATTATTAATTAACAGCACTTATAAACAAACAAAATTTACAAACAGAACATCAATTTTGCTTTAATCCTTGTTGTTGTGGCAAGATAGTCTTAATATATAACATTACTTTACCTCATTAGAAGTCACAAAATTGCACTGTTCGACCCACGCGCATACCCGCCGATATGATACTTTTTCAGGTTTTTCACACCCACCGCCATGACACTTTTTCAAGTTTTTGTAGATAAAATGTTTGCGCTTCGTAGATAAGGTACATTTGGTGCTCATGATTTATGAATAATATATATTTTAATACCGTACTGATCATGATGTTGACTTTGTTATAACTTATATTTTTTGTCTTTTAGTTTTATTTGATGAAGGTTGATTGTGCTGATTTCTCAAGGGTTGTTAATGTGTATCAAAGTTCCTTGAAATGAAAATATTCCTTCAAACAAAACGCGTATAAAAAAAATCAAAATATTCATGTTTATAATCATCAATTAACAAGAACGAAATATTTCCATAACATATTTGTTCATTTTGCGTGCCATGGTGACATTATCTAATGCATTGGAGATCAGAAATAGTAGTAGCTATAGTGAAAATATTGTAAATTTTCTATATGGAAGTCTAGTTTAATCTCATAGAACTATGTCTTTATAGATATAATTACTGGAAGAAAAATCTAACCATAATACTTCTAGGAAGATAGACATGTAAATAAATTTAATTATTTACACTTTTATCTATCTGAAATGCTGTGTATACCTTATCTACTTTCCTTTCGATTTGTCTAAATCCTCATATTGATAGTATAGTAATTGCAACATCTTGGGTATTTCAAAGGTTTTATTTAGTCAACTTCATCATAGAGCTATTAATCATTTGGCTTGTGTGCGACAAATATATGGTTGTGTGTATTTTGTTATTTTTTTACCAATTTTGATTTGTTCACATTATTGTCGTCAAATTTGAAATAAGAATTAAAGAAGATATAAAATCGCTTAAAATTAAGAAAAATAGTCTCTGGTTCTCTTATTTTAGTAATTTTTGCAGTCCAAAGTGTAGGAGTATGGGGAAAGTAATATAGCTTAGCGGTTATTTGTGAACATTTTTCAATACGTTTAGCCTCTCAGTACTTTCAGTACTTTGATTATTACTAGTACGCTGTACCGACTGCAGCCGACCGTTTTTATCAGTAGTACACTGTACTGACTACTGACGAAATAGGCTTACCACTAGCGCCTAAGAGTGGAAGGGAGACACGGCGATCAATGTCTACTGATGTGAGAACATCTTCCTCCTGTATAACTGCCATCGTGGAGCGGTGAGTTTGTTCTGACAGATCAATCTGTGTCGAGTACACGAGGACTTCCTCCTCATCATCTTCATCCTCCCCTTCTGAATCCAACACTTGGTGCCTCCTCCCCATATTTTCCGGCTCTGTTGGTCGCGACACGTCCGTGTTCGCACATATATCGTGGATTGACACTGGTCGACTGCACTCCTTCGTGAAATTTAGAGTACAAACTGTTTTGTTTTACGATATCAGATTCACAACGAAAAATGCATCTCAGTAATCAGGAGAAATGAGGAAACGTCTGCCTAAGTTATTAGGCATAACCCCTAAAAAACTTCTTGTTTCATAACATTGAATAATGATAAGTTCGCATTTGGTATGCTTACACTCAAGCTTGCAGCATATTGTGTTAATGGTTTGCACCATATCGTCTTAATGGTTTGCAGCATATTGTGTTAATGGTTTGCAGTATATTGTGTTAATGGCTTGCAGCATATCGTCTTAATGGTTTGCAGCATATTGTGTTAATGGTCTGCAGCATATTGTGTTAATGGTCTGCAGCATATTGTGTTAATGGCTTGCAGCATATTGTGCTAATGGTTTGCAGTATATTGTGTTAATTGTTTGCAGCATATTGTGTTAATGACTTGCATCATATTGTGTCAATGGCTTGCGACTTATGTATAAATGTCGTTTGTGTGGACGGTGGGTTTGTGTTACATTGTGCGAATGGTTTGTATTGTATCAATGGTTCGCGTCATATCGTATCGACACTTTGTGCCTCACATGATTTCGAATCACTGTTACAATGTTGAAAAGATTTTGTAAATAAAAACAAGTCAGAAAATTGTGTGACGTTTCGATGGCTACACTGACACCTTCATCACACAAGATCCAAAGGTTACAACACAAAGAGCCGATGGTTTTGCCACGCGGTTACAACGGTTTCATCTCTCAGGATCGATGGTTTTGTCTTACCCTAAATCAATAATTCACGATAGATGGCGAGGTGTAACGAACATCAATACACTGTACAACCCGTGTTGATGAAGGGGTTATTGATAATGTGATAGATGGTAATCAGATACAATATATTTTGAAATATAGAATACAAGCAAATCTTGACATTTAGAGACATGAGAGAGATTATATGTCTGAGATGTTGAATATAAACATTAACATATTTTGGAGGCCCGTGTGAGAAATTTGAGAGAGATTATGTGTCTGAGATGTTTGATGTAAACATCAACACATTTTGAAGGTCCGTGTGAGAGATTTGAGAGAGATTATGTGTCTGAGCTGTTGAATATAAATATCAACACATTTTGGAGGTCCGTGTGAGAGACCTGGGTGAGATAATGGGTCCGATATGGGGGGACATTTACATATACAGAGGCGACACTTACCTCTACATTTTGGAGTTCGTTGAGAGAGACTTGAGAGATTGCTTGTTCGACAAACAATTCCGCCATATCGTCCTCGATAGCGTTATAATTACCGTTCATCGAGAAACACCCTAAGTTCTCTTCTGTGACTGAAATTATATTCATATGTTTAAACAAGAGGCCCGAGGGGCTTGCATCGCTCACTGGCTAATTCAGTTATTCCTGTTTTTGACAAAACATTTCAAACATGACAAATAATTTCTGAAAATAATTTCATTATTGAGGTCCAACCTTTTGGTGGAACGAAGGTCATTTACAATTCATGAAAAAAGCTTTCGACCAAACAATAATCCTGTTACAGGGGTAAAGTTTAACAACGTACATTTTCCCTATTGGGCCCCACATCACATGTCAAACTCATGGTTGATACAACTTTCAACTACGTATGTTGCAGACCGAATCGGGACAGAATCAAGGCATTCCCATAAAAGAAAAAAAAAAGAATCCTTTATTTCCACTATTCGGGCCTGTCCCAGAAGGCCGATACCCACTACCTAAACATAATTGATTTGTTTTTACGCAAACACGCAGACCAAATTGGAACAGAATCCTGATACAGAAGAGAAATCGTTAAAAGGAATACGGTCATAACAAGAGAAGAAGAATCTTTTCTACAGGAGTAGTAAAAATTTAAAGAATTTGCTCCAGTTGGCTTACTCGGGCCCTGCCCCATCCGCCCAAGGAGGCCAAGTTCCACCGTTTATACAAAACTGATTCCCCTTCACCCAGAAATGCTTCAGGCCAAATTTGGCAATAATTTCCCCTTTTGGGCCCCACCCCTAAGGCCCGTGGGCTCCAAGAGCCAATATTTGTTTCCCTTTCACCGAGGATGCTGCTGACCGAATTTGGTCAAAATCTGTTCTGTCGTTCATGGCTATTAGCAATTTTTAGTCAAAAGTTGACGAACGCGGGACGAGGGACGGACGCCACGCCATGGTATAAGCTCCTCGGTCTTTCGGACCAGGTGAGGTAAAAATGAACATGATATATTTAAGTATCGTATAACTGGTGTATATATAGGCCAATGAAAGAACATCTGAATGGAACTGGTAAATTGTATACGTTCCAGTCACATTCCTTCCAAATTTTGTTCTTAAAGTAACATTTGGATTTAAGAAAGGCTTTATGTTACACATGTGGGAATTAAGACTTTAAGCAAATGAAAGAAAAGCAATGTCACCCATTATTTTTGTCACGGATCGTATGGTTGTGTCAGCAGAATTAAATTAGGCCATCCTAACAACCTCACTAATTGACTTACTTTTCTTCTCACATCGTGTTAACTTTAGAAAACATACAGATTACACGAGAAGATGTGAAAGGGAGAACGGACAGAAATTGCTCGATATATCTTCATTAACTTAAGGAATTTTCCGTAACATAAAATTGCCAATAGGAGAGCATTTAAAAGTTAAGGAAACTGCCTATAAATTATCTTAGCACGAAGCTAAGCGGTTCTTTATTCCTTCTTTCAATTCAAACCTGTCACTGAAACTAGGAAACAAACAACGAGTGTTCTACGGCATTTAAAGTCACTCCTACAAGCATTTTTATTTAATGAAGTCACTCTCATCAGCATACAGATGTAGGAAACAACAAATCCCCTCATTCCACGTAGACTTCAATGCTGATATATGATTAGGTTTTAATTAATTAAAATTTGATTTCAAACATTTGCTTTCAATTTTTTTTTATTTTTGATTTTTATTTGATTAAATCCTAAAGATTAAAACGTTAACTTACCCGTCTTTGAAATAGATTGATTCTCTACATTACAGGTAGTTGGTTTGAAATCTTTATTGACCAAAATATCCCATTTTAGTAGAATTAAAGAACAGAATAACAACCCTTGAACATCTTCTTACTTTGTTTTCAGTTAACCGTATCACACGGCCAATTAAACCTGTGGTATGTCACGTGTACCTGTTGAATTCGGGAGCCAATTCAAACCTCTATTCGTAATCGGTACCTTTCATAAAATCGGGAATTACTGTAATTAATTAGATATAATACAGTATAAACAAAAGAAACATCTTGCATTGTAAATACAAATGTTAACAAACACCAGTTTTATTTGAACCATGCTTTCTCGGGGATGAAATGATTGAATAAACAAATCATACTGGTTTCATCTCAAATGGCTCAAATACATTTCATTTTTTTGTCAGAGTACGCAAAATTGCGCCAATAATACGTGATTTTTTCAACAGTAAGCCTTCCCCCGGATCCCCCTACCAGGCGCGGTTCTCTATGCGACCCTCGGCCGCTCACGATTGGGATATGTAAAATAAAAAAACAATAATTAATAAATCTATACTAGTCTGGCTACGCCCATGGGGACAAGTTAGAACCAGAATAAAATAAAGATGATCTCTCCTTGTCAGTGAAGCTGGGGGGTGGAAAGTGTCTTATACCACATTAATAGAAACTTACCTTGTGTGTGGGAAGCGCGCCTAATCCTTCCATATTCTTGAAACCAAGAGATACTATGGAGATTCCGTGGACAATAGAGATCTATGACGTCATATCCATTGGATACATTGTTATTGTTGCGCAGTAAATGGAATGACGTCATAATATGTATGACTTCGTTTCTAGATTGTTTGCTACAGTAACAACCATCGGTGTTATTTGTAGAAAACCATTTCTATATAGACTGAACCCGGGTTGTACTCTAGTCAAACAACAAAAGCCAGGAAGTTTGGCATTGATGATCGGAGACATTGCAATTTCCATCGGACATGAATGGAAACAAGCCTAATTGGTGTTTCATTGACGGGAAAGTACCAATCTTTATCGATAAATCCGAGGATGCAAAGTTTCCAATTTTAACAAACGGTCGAAGGTACAAGAAAGATTCAAGAGAATGGCTGCATAAAACAAGCAATAATCGGGGCAAAAACAGGAAGCGGACCGTCGATAGTAAATCAGACGCCTTGGAGGACCACAAATTAGAAGTAAATGTCGAAAGCCTATCCGACACCATGGAAATAGCAAAAAATACCGGTGGGTCGTCATCAACACTTAACTTCTCGGGAAGAAATATAGATATGGGAAAGCAAAAAGAGCATGATATTCGTCTGTCACCTTTCCAGTGTTTTGGAAGAGGTGAAAAAAAATTCGGTGGGTCTTCATCACCAGTTGACTTCTTTGGAAAAAATACAGATGTGGGAAACCGAAAGGAGCATGCTATTCGTCTTTCACCTTTCCAGTGTTTTGGGAGAGATGAGGACAGGGAATTGGCTGTAAACCAGATCGCTATACGCAGCTGTATAGCCAGAGGCGAATCTTCGAGGCGTCTTCGCAAGAGAAGGTTGACTTGGTTGAAAGCAGAGAAAAATGACAGTTATTGCATAGAGGTAAATGGAGAAAACAACTTCCAGCCGGATCACGATCGTTTCCGACCGATACCAGAAGTAGCAGAATTAGAAGCAATCGAGTTCCTGGACCCTGTAGCGGGAAAATCACACGAAGATGTTAATGGCCATTCTTTAGAGATTTCCGCAAGTTTCTGGTTCGATACGGTAAGTCAGTAACCACGTATAGGATTTTCTTGCAAACTCCGGAGTCGAGAGAACAGCTTTGGTTGAAAACTAGATACGTAGCCTCTTCTATTATATTCTACACCTTTCCCTCCTCCACAAAGTCTTAACCCTTTATAGACAACCATTTCGTCTTTTTTTTCTTAGTTGCCACATAGATTACATTTAGTGTGGTCAAAGCCATCAAGTCTGTTTTAGGAGTAACTAATTAGTCTGCCTTCTGGGGCTTAAACAAGCGACCTCTCTGCCCCTCTGTTACTGTTGCTTTACTTGTTGTACATCGTGTGTACAAATTCAAAGTGGTTAAAAATCCCAACGAATCCAACAAAGTGTCAGTAATCCCGCTAGGGTTCGCCGGGACGTTTATCGCTGAATGGATTAATTGATTACATACAACATATCTTTCCCTACAAAATATTCTATCGACTCCACGGAGAGCTTAAAATATACTACTTATTCATATCACGGCTATCAAGACGTATCTAAGTCCGTGTTCCAATTAAATAAACAAGCGTACGGCAAGAAACCTCCACACGTTGAGGAACTCCGTTCATTTATTATACTGCATGCCCTGCTTAGAATGAAACGTGATAATTTGAACTTAACTGTATTTAAATGATGAAATTTCCAATAATTCGTGTATGAAGCCGTGAAACAGTTCAAAAGGATACGTGTGTGTGTATATAATCAGACGTTATCTAATTGCATCCGCTTTTAGGCAATGTCTGTTTCAACCTATTGTACCAAGAATTATGCTTAAAAATTAGCTATAAGTACAATATTGTGACTACATCGATGATGTGCAGATGTACAGCGCAGAAGGAAGGCGAGAATAAAAAGCATCTTTTTTTTACAAATAGGATGACAGCACCGATGGTACTTGGTGGCGCGAGACAAAACCTTCGTCATCCGATTCTTCCCTGGAAGACTTTTGTCCCGGCCTCGACGAGAGCGCTTGTCCAATTGATCCCACCCTGATAAGGTCCCCTGTCCCAAGGAAACGGTAGGAACACCACACAAACTTCAGTTCACAGTTTCATTCACAGAGAACCATAATACACTGAACTGAAAATAATCCTTAACTTCAATGAGAACAATGATAAAATAGATTGTATCTACGTAGTATTATTCAATATCTCGTTATAAACTATGTACTAATGTAAGTGTGTGCAGTAGCAGTGATGCACGGGGGAGAGGGGCGGTGTTATAGAGTTGGTAAAAATGTGTTTGTCTCCCCCTCCCCTTTCCTAAAATCTGGGATCCGCCGCTGAGCTATCCCCGGTACTCCAGGGGTTACAGTAACTTTTCCTCTCTGCACCCCTGGGATATTTCATGGCATAATTCAAGGTTCCATTGGTGAGGCACCTTGTGGACAAGACGAAAAGACTAGTTTGATCATTTGATGTACATCTATCGAATCTTAACGTCGCATAATGGTCGACTTTTTATTCTGAAGCAACAAAATTACCTCGTTTGGCCAGAGGCGCAGACAGTGAAAGTGATCGTAACCCCAGGAGAATCGAGGATGCCACTGAGCAAAGAGGATACGGCGGTGTGATAAACACTGTTGGTGACCATCTCGTCTGGAACTCCTATTCGTAAATCTACCATTGCAGACTTTGCCTGGTTTTTCGAACGGTTTGCTGGAACCGCGATTTACGATTACATGTTTTACGCCGGTAATAACAGTCTAATTGGATATTTTTCGTGATATTAAAGGACTTGTATGTGATATTTAAACCTTCCACTACAAGTGTCTAGATCGTCACTATTTCTTTCACGTTTGCTATTTTCAAGGGAAAATAAATGTCTTATCTTAAGTTGAAATTATTTATTCAGGGAGAAATTGACACTGTTGTCAGAGGAGATTGACCACGAACGACAGGAAAAAACTGGTTCCCCAACAGAGGAGTTCGGCAGCCGTTCCTTAACAAGTCCCAAGGACGACCCACGGGTGGAACCAAGTTAACATTTGTGATCCTGTTATCAGCTTTGTCTGAGCACGAAAGTTTTAACATTTGATAAGAATTATATTCAGTGTTAAATCCATACCTTGATTAGAATATTTCAATGTTAATAAATAAAGTGTTATTCAGAGTAAGGTTCTGTGTTTTGTCTCTGTTTATTATAGCAGAGCCGACTTCCAAAGGAACAATTTCCCTTATTTTTTCACATCTTTTTCATCGCCTAGTCTTGCTACCATACCTTCTATCAAACAACAAAGACACTCTTCTACAATACCCTCTATCATCCAGCTAAGACACCTGTTACCATACCCTCTATCATCCAGCTAAGACACCTGTTACCATATCCTCTATCATCCAGCTAAGACACCCTGTAACATACCCTCTATCATCCAGCTAAGACACTCTACTACCATATCCTCTATCATCCAGCTAAGACACCCTGCTACCATACCCTCTATCATACAGCTAAGACACCTGCTACCAAACCCTCTATCATCCAGCTAAGACACCTGTTACCATACCCTCTATCATTCAACTACGACACCTGCTACCAAACCCTCTATCATCCAGCTAAGACACCTGTTACCATACCCTCTATCATTCAACTAAGACACCTGTTACCATACCCTCTATCATCCAGCTTACACGCCTGTTAACATACCCTCCATCATCCAGCTAAGACACTCTACTACCATATCCTCTATCATCCAGCTAAGACACCCTGCTACCATACCCTCTATCATCCAGCTAAGACACCCTGCTACCATACCCTCTATCATCCAGCTAAGACACTCTACTACCATATCCTCTATCATCTAGCTAAGACACCTGTTACTATACCCTCTATCATCCAGCTAAGACACCGTTACCATACCCTCTATCATTAAGCTAAGACACCCGTTACCTTACCCTCTATCATCCAGCTAAGACTCTCTACTATCATACCCTCTATCATCCAGCTAAGACACTCTACTACCATATCCTCTATCATCCAGCTAAGACATATGTTACCATACCCTCTATCATCCAGCTAAGACACCTGTTACCATACCCTGTGTCATCCAGCTAAAACACCCTGTTACCATACCCTCTATCATCCAGCTAAGACACCTGTTACCATACCCTCTATCATCCAGCTAAAACACTGTTACCATACCCTCTATCATCCAGCTAAGACACCTGCTACCATACCCTCTATCATCCAACTAAGACACCTGCTACCATACTCTCTATCATCTAGCTAAGACACCTGCTACCATACCATCTATCATCCAGCCAAGACACCTGCTACCTTATCCTCTATCATCCAGCTAAGACACCCTGCTATCATACCCTCTATTTTCCAACTGAGACACACCATGCCATCCAGTCATTCTTTTTCAATTATATCAAACATAATTGAATTCAGAAAACATTTGATTTAAAATCATACACAACCTATTCGATTGAGTGTTCAAAATTTCTAGAAAGTATCCCAATATTGATAAACCAAACAAGTTTCTTCATCAGTCAGCTTCAGTTTTTATTGGTTTACTAGATAAAATATTGCTAACACTAGTTGTACATTAAATTAAGCATTTGAGAAAATTATCGTAAATCTTTTTCCAAACAGATAAAATTTCATTTGACTTTCAGAACCTTAACATTTCATACAATAACCAAAGTATTATCTGACCTTACATCTTTACCACTATCAGATGACCTTGGCTGTTGCAGAGATGTTAAATATATATAAATGAAATACATACAATTTTGTAAATCTCAATTGTGGATCATTTGTCAGACAAAATTTGAGTCTTTCTATCATAACCTTTCTTGTAGCTAAATATAATATCAACCTAGTAGGATGTTTCAGAATCTTTTTCATCAAATTTGGATCAAAGAACAAGTGATATCCTTCATTCAAATAAAGTTAACTTGCATGTTAACGTTACAAAGCATTTACGCAAAACACGTCAGCAGGGTCAGCTGTTACAAAGGTGTCTAGAACTGATCCAGAATGGATTCAGGCACTGACAGTTATCTCAATAGTCAGAACACTTCACAGTATCCCAAACTTTTCAATTCATGTCTAAATGCACAGTGAATATAGACAAATTGTAAAAGTGATGAGTCAGCTTATACATGCCCAGTGTAGACGTCTTTTATTTTTTCCCTGTACCGTACAAGGCCATCTCGTCCCATGACTTAAAATTTGGTAATTGTTGGGCTTTTGATTCTTTAAGTTGCTTTTTCTCTTTTCTACTGAGATATCTTTTGGTAGAACTGTTGTTGGAGTGTGCTGTACTGACTTCCTCATTTCCACTGTTAAGATTTTCTATGTTGTCAGACCCAATATCTGTAAGTGAAGGGAGACCTGACTCAAAATCAGTATGTGCTGATGGTTGAGAGATTGATGAATTATCATATCCCAATCTTACTGAAGCATTTGCACCAGGTCTTAAATCCAACTGCCTTGATTTTGGCAAATCTTCAATTTGTGACTTTTGTGAAATGCCATGAAATGTCCTTGATGAATCACCATATTCTCTCCTTGGTAAGTCTCCATATTCAAGCTTTGGACCATCTTCTGATTTTAACCTCTGCGAGTTATCACCATCTGACGGTACATTACCAACCACCGATCTTGATGACTCGTCAAACTTTGTCCGCGGCAAGAAATCTGATCTTGACCCTAGTGTAATTCCATTCCCTGATGAACCACATGACTTTTTCAAATTTTTAAATTTTGAATATGTATCAAAATCATGTCTCTCTTTTTCTTGATTTCGTAGCTTGGGGGGTTCCAGCATTACTTTGTTTTCCTCTTCATCCTGCTGTTTCAAAGATTCAGATTCCAGCCGATTATACTTTGCTAGTATGCTAGTGAAAGGATTCACCCTCAACTGTTTTAATTGCTCCTCAAAAGAAAGCTCTTTGGGGTCATTTAAATAGGATGGTTCACTTGTTGGCATGGGAAAGCCTTTTAATCCCCCAGAGTTACTTAACAAGGACATTTTGTTACTGCCCATCAAAGATTTAAGAGTATTCTCCAAGCGTTCATTCCCTTCCACATCACCATGTTTTAAAGCTTCCAAGTTCTTCTGTACTCTTAAATCATGTCTATCTATTGCATCCTGTGACAGTCTAGGTCGTTTTGATCGTAGAATTTTGATAGCTGCAGGTCGACTGACAGGAAAACTTTCTACAATCCTGTCCAGGGTCCATTCTTCAGGGAATTCTTTGTTTAGAAATCTCATCTGCTCCATTGCCTCCCATGTTAACATTGCTGCTTCTCTTACAGCTGGAAAACTCTTTTTCTGTATTATTTTCTGCTTCAAAAATGCTCTTTCTTTTTTCGTCATACTGTAACATACCAAATAAAATCAAGATACTTTCAACAAATAAGCCTGAAATACCTACATACATATACATCAAATGTTGACAGAAATTATAAGCCATGTACACTGTGTATGCCCTTTATGATCAATACAAAGAAAATCTACTTCATGATATTACATTGAGACTCAGGTGATTGAGATTTGAAAGTAGCAGCTGGCTGGCACTTTGATATTTTATAACAAACCATGTAGGCTGCGTATACTCTTCCTGATCGTTGTGAAGAAAAATCTACTTGATGATATCACATTGAGACTCAGGTGATTGAGATTTGAATTGTAATACAAGAAGCCTAGCAGCATTGAAGGTCACCTGAGATAAGCAATATTAATTACAAAGGTTAGGGGGTAAGCAGCTTTCAATTGTCATGAAAAAGAAATTGTGGCATTGATGATAGTAAGCCAAGGTTAATACAAAGTTATTTCCAGTGGGAAATAAACAACAATATGCTCAAAAGTGTATTTTTTTTCTATAAAAATTATAACTAAAAACAAGAACCAACATGAATTAAGTGTAGAAAAGATCATCTGCTAGGTTCCAGAAGGATACCAAAGAGTATGTAGGACGCTCTTAAAAAGTGGATTAGAATCAAGGCCAGAAAAAGAGCAACAACTCCTGAGACCAGGTTTGAAAAATATGTGACTTTTATAGTAACGTTAAACTCCTCCCCAGGAAGAAATGTGAGACACATTTTGGTAATTAAAGCACCTTTTAGATGCTTTCATCCAAGAAAAGCATTTGATTCTACCATACAAGAGTGTTGAGATGATTTTTTTTCAAATTTAAGTCAATCTGATCGAAATTAAACAAATTATGTTCGAAAACCTGCTTTTCCTATATAAAATATTGTAGTTTTCATCCCACCTAACAGGGAAATTTGTGACCCTGAACCGATGAAATTCGTGATTTTGGTAAAACACCTTAAGACACTTCCATAGATCTATGAAGAGCATTTGATACTACCATTTCTGGGTGTCTAGAAGATTTTTGAAATTCAACTCAGTTTGACCACTTTTTGGCCCCATCCATCAACCCCTGGGTGTCAGCCAGGATCAATATGGGCATACCATCAAGCCCTCATCCTTTGCTCATAATTTTAACCAAGTCTGAAATATTTCCAATGGTAATTAAAACAAATTATGCTCAAAAATATTTTTCCTATGAAATAAAGTAAACATTACACCTTCAGAGCGGGGAAATGTTGAGACCCTGGGGCCATGAAATTCATAATTTTGGTATAACACCTTAAAATGCTTCCATCCATGAAGGGCATTTGATCCTATCCCTTCTGGGTGTTAAGAAGATTAGGCACAATTTAAATCTGAGTCAATTTGACGAGTATAAGAGTTACATCCCTTGAAAATGAATTTTAACATTATTATGTTTACCTGGCTATGTCAGCGCGACTTGGCAATACCGGTTCCTCGTCAAGAAATATGTCTTCGTCGTCAAACCATTCCTTTCTACGTCTGGTGGAAAAGTTTACAACGAAACGAGAAATTCGGCTACAGGACGTGAACAGATTCGGTCTCAACATCATGCCGAACGGACGGAAGACAAACTACTGTAACGAATACTTGTAGAACCAAAATTCCGGATTGGTAATCTTACTTTTTTCAACATATTAAAACCAAAATGTCTAAGTCCAAATTTTAGCAATACTAGTATTTCATTATTAAATATTTACATAACAATACATAGTATTATTTGACTGAGGATATAAGTCTGATCTTAGAGATTCCGGGATTTTACTCGAAATTTATATAGTACCAAAATGGATGCAGCGAAGTCGACAACAACAACATCGGGATTTCAAATTCCTCTTTACGTTCTAGATGATTTATGCAGGTTTGTACAAAACGACGTTCTGAGCAGTTTTGCATTGAAATAACAGTATGAAATTCACGAACCTCAAAATAAAAGTAATCAGACTGCGAGTTTCAGAGCTTATAGTCATACCACGGACATGTATATCTATATTTAAGTCCGTGGTCATACTTAAGGGAATCAGGCGTTCTATAATCCGTGTTATTGTAGGATTTTTTTGCCAGTGAGTATCATTTCCGAAGTTTCAGTGAGTCCCGTTTCAACGAACGAGCTTCTTTTTCACACGAGTATATATTTTATTTAGAGATGCCTCATGATGATGCTTCTGACTGATTTATTTAATGATTGAATGACGTTAAGTTCTGGTTTATGAGATGTAAACGCCAAAGAGACTTGAGATCAGGTTTATGAACTCTTGAAATCATATACTCATTTGATACAAACATTTACTAGAATGAATCAAACTTCAAGAAAACATAACGGGTAGGTTGAATGAAAGGGAGATAATTTATCATAGGCGTTGGGAATAGCTACATGTACCTACACGAGTACTATCGAACGCTCATATGTCAATGACTGGAATTCGGTTCATTTCTCAAAATTCATGCGACACACACAGAAAGGGTACGAGTCCATCACTCAGACATTTGATTCCAAAAGTTACTTATAATTGTAACCCTGGTAAAATACTAGCCGCAATATATCGCTCTGCTAGAGAGAACTTCTCTTTAGCTAGATTCGTTGAACCTCAGACTAGTAAGCCAGGGGCCCAAGGTTTGATTCCAAGCGAAGGCATTGAAATTAATAATGACCTCTTCTACACCGGGGCCCATGCAGGGACCCAGGAATAGTACTTAGCCATGACCCACCAGCGTTACTTTCACAAGCACCGCTGTGATCCCTGGTCACTTGAGGACGAGTTATTTCCTTGAAAGGGAGTATGTAACCCTGGTAAAATACTGGCCACAATAGATCACTTGGCTAGAGAGAATTTCTCTTTAGCTCGATTTGTTGAGTATCAGACTAGTAAGCCAGGGGTCCCGGGGTCGATTCCTAGCAGAGGCGTTGAAATCAATAATGACCTCTGGTACATAATGTTTGGTAGCATAAAATACACATGTTTATATATGTCTCTGATTTTATGTATAGAATGTCTGATACCTGTTGTCATTCATTAATAGGCCAAATTAACTGGCCATATTTTCTAATACATGTAGTTGATTGGATTCTGGACTTATCCACGACCATAGGAATTGGACATTCTATATGTGAAACATTCAGTAGCTATTACAGATTCCTGCTATTTTAGGAATATAATAGCTATATTTCATATATGGAATGTCCAATTCCTGTGCCCCAACTTATCCTGATCATCTGTCCAGCCTAGTACACAGCACTGTTCAGAATACTCTGTTTGTACATTATACTAAAGGGTGTAGAGCAAATGCCGTGCTTCTAGTAAAGTTAGAGTAGGTTCCAAGGTCCCTTGCTTGGATACCTCCAGGTATGCATGACAATTGAAGAGTAGTAAGGAACTAAGGGGTAAGAGGCAATCACAACAAGCTCAGGATACTAAAATTGTTATTTATTATTCTTCGTCTACCGATTTCACTCGTAACATATGGGCTTCTTCAGGTCCTGACCTTGTTGCGATTGCCTCTTACCCCTTAGTTATACTACCATGGATGTGTTGACAGGTGTTGCAAGTGTATTTGATCAGTGCTGTAAAGTATTTGTTACACACAAACAATGGAAGTATAAACAATATCTTAATGTTCTTATACACAAGTCAGGGTAATAATGAAATGTGGTACCACATCCATACAATATGTTCATTATGTACTGAGAACTGTAACCACAGGTTAGTTTTGAACATTTTGATTAAGGATGAAATGTGGTAACATATACTTTTTGAAAATTGTAAGTTGTGTTTGGGAAAAGTGAATAGCTGTTAATTTAATGAAATTGTGACCTTTTTTTTAACAGTCGATTCATTATCAACATCCCTGATGAAGAAAGACAGGACCTCATCAGAATATTTTTCCAGATAGAGCTGGCACATTGGTTTTACCTGGATTTCTATTGTGCTGAGAATCCAGAACTCCGATCATGTGGAATAAAAGACTTCTCTGCACAAGATATCTTTTAAATATGAAAAGAAAGTGATTTTGTATAGAATAGCAGTATGCATCACACCAATTTTAGATATGTGAGACCAGATATTAGTGTTAATCCTATGATATCACACCTGCACATGCAAGTAAGCACTGTCTGTATGTCCTTTCGGATCACGAAATTATCATTACTTATTTATTTTTTATTCTCTTAATGAGAAAAGAAGGTAATATAATCCCAGTAATGGATATTATTTAGGAAAACAATTTTTGAAATAAGAATGAAAACTGGTAGATATATGTTCATGTATAATAATACTTTATCAAATTTTGAACCATGGCTTACACTGTTGGCAGAACTTATCATATACAGAAATATGCAAACAGAACTTTACATACAAACATAAACATATATTTTTTCTGATAACATCATGAAAATTAAAAAAAAAAATCAGATATCTGTACTAAAGCCTCTACTGTGACTTACTGATGAATCTTTTTGAAAACCATTGAAGATCATCATCACATTCTGTCACAATCCATAAATTGCTCAACACTCGACATTTTTTCCCATTAAACCTAATTATGCAGGCCATAGTTGAAGAAATCTAATTATTGTTTCCTTAGCCTGTTTACTGTTCAAACATTGCCCATTTTTGAGTGGTCATGCAGGTGAAGTGGACAAGATTCTGGAGAATTGGCGTACCTATAAGATGAGTGTTCCAACATATGGTGCCATCATGTTGGACCCTGAATTGAAATATGTGAGTGTTTCATGAACATAGTACTTCATGATTTAATTGTTTTCCCAAATATAACACTCAGTATGTAGAACATTGTACACTGTTTTGAAAGATTGCTTGTGTTTTTGTAAAGAAGACATTTTATTGGTGAAATTGTGGCCATAAATTAAGATCAGCAGTGACAGTGGATGAATGATGATGGTCAGTTTTATTAAGGGTTATTGAATGTTAAGGAAAGGAAACAGACAAAGTTACTTTTATAGCCTCATTGAAGTTTGTGAAAAACTGTTCCTTCTGCTACATGTGATATCCTATAGAGGTCTATGTAGTCAGGTAACAGTTATGGCCCATGGGCCCTTTGTCAATAAGAAGAGGTATGATCATTATTGTAAACATACAGTATAGAAGAAAAATATGAGAAGACAGCATGGTCTTTTTCTTCCATTGTAGGTTCTTTTAGTACAAGGGTTTTGGACCAAGAGTAGCTGGGGCTTCCCTAAAGGCAAAGTGAATGAAGAGGAGGCCCCTCATGATTGTGCTGTGAGAGAGGTAAATTTATAGTATAAAGTGTGCATTTGTACATATACATAATGTATATAAGTCTATATGTCATCACGGAATTCAAAGTCACAGGGTAGACTGAACATTTTATCAAATTATGAAGCGATTAGCTTGTTTATCAAATTTCAAATATCGGTAGCTGCTTTAAAAATTACAGTGGAAAATCACTGGATTGAGCATACATTACCTAATAAGGACTCAAAATATGTAAAAGAAACCATTATCATATAGATGTTACATCCAATATGTAGATATAAAACAGAGGTTATTTCAAAAGAGGAATAGATACTGGGAATCCATTCAGTTTGGTAATTATATGTAGATATAAAACACAGGTTATTTCAAAAGAGGAATAGAAACTGGGAATCCATTCAGTTTGGTAATTATGACAAGTTATTAAAGTGACAGTGACATCTGTTGCTGGGCAGGTATTGTCATGATAGAGAAGTACAAAAAAAGTTATAAGCACAAATTGGTTCTACAGAAAAACCTGATATGGTAGACTAGAGAAATGAAAAAATAATGCTTCTGAAATACGTTACAAATTGCTTTATATACATGTAACACTGGTCTATGGTCCGTCTGTCTGTAAACAATTTTTCAACAATTTTTTAGCAATTTTCATTATCTCTACTTCTTGAAAAGAATTGGATGGATCTTTCTTAAATATCATATATACCGGTAGGTTCATCTTGGTGCCTGGTTGTGCCCTTTTTAGAAATTAAATCTTATAGAATTAAGAGCTAAAGAAGTGGAAAGAATAGAAAAGAAGGGAAGATGACACGATAGTGGCACGAAGATCTGGGATCTCTTGTTATATGTAATACATTTGGGTACACAATTTACCGTAGCTTCCACATGATTTTCAATTTGACGTGAAAACTTTCAAACATGTTTACACTTAAGGGACCATTGACTGTCATACAACAAGTATCTAATTATCCTCCCCTTGGCCCCATCCCATCTCACCCATCTCCTATGAAAGGGAGGAGAGGGGGTTTATAGTAGTCACTTTGTGTGTACATGTATGATCTCATAAACCCATGAACACATTTAGTTCATATTCTCATTAAAGCATCACAAATGTCTGATTATACGATGGCCATCAGTCAAGGTTTATGCTCGAACACTTTTGAAATGACAAGCTTATGTATAAGATAAATGTACCTCATGAACTCCTTTATGTGGATTAGCCCACAAGAGATTTACTGATTGATAAAAAGACAAAGGTGTGGGGTATATTCAAGCCCCTGTTCACTATGTTCTTACTTAAATTAAAAAGTTCAAGCATGAAAATGATACTGTATCTTACATGTACTTTTATGTAAGGATGTGATGTTATACATGTACTGGTGTGATTTCAATCTGTTCAGCTTTTAATTAGTAAAGATATTTTGTAAAACAAATGTATCAATCAATTTGCAAACATCATTCAAGACAGTCTTACACCGAAAGTAGAATATTTCAGGTTTTGATAATGTATTTAGTGTACTGAAAAATGCGTCTTTATATATGATACTCTTGTTAAATGGGGTTGGCCTTGTTCATCACAGGTTGAGGAGGAAACTGGATTTGATATAGTAAAACTTATCGACAAGAATGCCTTCTTAGAGAACCATTTCAATGACCAACTGACACGTTATATATATATCAACACGTCCCGAAAAGAAATCAAGGTACTGTACTACAAATTTATTTAGCAATATTGTCTTGAGAAATATGAGAAAAGAAGAAAGTGATACCTAACACAGGGGAAGTTCTATGTATGCAGCCAAAGACACGAAAAGAAATCAAGGTACTGTACTACAAATTTATTTAGCAATATTGTCTTGAGAACTATAAAAAAAGAAGAAAGTGATACCTAACAGAATTGGACGGGGGAGGAATGGGGGGTGGAGAACCTATGTATGCAGCCTCGATGGGGGAAGAGTAGGGGTGGGAGAACCTGTGTTTGCAGCTTTGACAGGGGAAGAGTGGGGATGGGAGAACCTATGTATGCAGCCTCGACGGGGGAAGAGTGGGGATGGGAGAACCTGTGTATGCAGCCTCGACGAGGGAAGAGTAGGGGTGGGAGAACCTGTGTTTGCAGCTTTGATGGGGGAAGAGTGGGGATGGGAGAACCTGTGTATGCAGCTTTGACGGGGGAGACATTGGGGATGGAGAACCTGTGTATGCAGCTTTGACGGGGGAAGAGTGGGGATGGGAGAACCTGTGTATGCAGCTTTGACGGTGGAAGAAGTAGAGGTGGGAGAACCTGCGTATGCAGCTTTGACGGGGGAGAAATTGGGGATGGAAAACCTGTGTATGCAGCTTTGACGGGGGAAGAGTGGGGGTGGGGAAAAATGTGTATGCAGCTTTGACGGGGGAAGAGTGGGGATGGGAAAACCTGTATATAAAGTCTTTTATCACATGTAATTCACAATATAGAAGGTATTCCTGTTATGAATCATTTTATGAGGAAAACATTTGAACTCGGTGCTTAGCCATCACGACTGCTTTATTTCTTATCTAGCTGTTGAATTGATTTACAGAGTTTGCAGTGGTTTCCAATTGAAGCTCTTCCAGCACACAAACATGACCAAACCCCAAAGCAGCTAGGCTATAACCCAAACAACTTCTTCATGGTCATTCCATTTATCAAGTAAGTAGGCTGAGGATTGGACAATTTTATCAGTTTCAAATCATAATTACATTTTACACTTTAATTAGTTGTGGTACACTATTGCTAAGAACTTGAATAGTTCAGATTGTTACACAACATTAACTAACCTGGCCACAGTTTCACTCACCAGATAAAGATTGGACCTATCAGCCAAAAAGTTTGATATAGCAATAAAGTGACAACAGTATTGTAGAGTCAAAACAAAAATTAGAAAGTCTGGAAAGCAATTTCCTGGTCTTATGAAATCAGGCCAAATTACTTCAGATATGGTTTACGATTGCACCTTTTCTTTTGATATGAAAATTCAGTAATTTAAGGAAACATTGTAAAATTGTAATGAAAATAATAAAAAAATCATTAGCACACATTGTGTAACCCCCATACATAATCCAAAGCTTTACTGTACAATATGTACAGTATCTATCTCAGTTTTCACTGATAGGTCTCCAATTTTAGCTGTACAGAATATGCATGCTTATCCTTTAACCAGAAATTAGTGACATCACAGTATGAAAAGGATGAGAATGAAAAGTGAGAATAATCACATACTCATAGAACATTGGAAACATCAGGTGCCTTTACTTATGTGTGTATATATGAATATATTTGTTATATTTACACTATACATCAATGTATGTAATGAAACGGATATGAAATATCTGACACAGCATCACTGACAACACTATCATCATGTATTCCCTGGTTACACTTATATTCAGAAATGTACCAACAACCACAGAATGATAAACTTGTACTTTATACATACTATGTATAACATATGTCTGATGTAAACATTTCTGTTTTAACATCTTCTATAACTGAAATGTGCCGGGCACTAGTGGTCTATAACAGAGAAACCTTTAACCTTGATATGTAATGTTTGCTTGTCCCTTGAGTAGAGCCTCAAGGTTGGACATTCAAGAATCCCACTCCGCGGGTTGAAAATTCTTTGTCACACCCTGAAGGTAGGAAAAGATTATATCATTGAAATCTTGTTTAACCAATACACAAATTGCAGATGTTAAGTGTTATAAATGTGTTCAGGATATTACTACACAATGATTTTTGTTGTTCAGACCATTGAGAAAGTGGCTTGCAGGGAGACAGAACCTGTTAGATACTGAACTTAACGAGTACAATAATGCCTCCCAACACAAGCAACAAAAGGGAGGTAGTGGAGGTGGTGATGTACGACACCACCGTGAAAAACAGAAACAAAAACTACAACAGTTCTTTGCACAGCAAAATCAGCAGGAGTATCAGGATTACTTACAGCTGAAGGAAAATGATCCTCAATCCAGAGCAGATTCGGCTAATAAAGATCTAAGGTCACGATCAGAATCTCCACGCAAAGAGCCGTACCATAAGGGAAGACACCAGGAGAACAGTGAACCATCACAAGGAAAAAAGGGATATCATATTATGGTAAGTACCACATGTTTACTGGTTATTAGCTTAATATCTTATTTGATTGGATTTCTGTTTAAACATTTACAAGTAACAGGATCTTAAAGACCTTGGAGGTCGTAAATAATTTACTAGAGTTATTTCATTGGAAGAGTAGTATCATAAATGAGTTTGTAAGTGATGATTTGTGTTGTTTATTTAAGAAAAAACTCTAGAATTGTTACTGGTTTATATTTATATCAAGTTAGTGGTGAAAAATTTAATGTTTATTTATTTCTAACCAATTTCAGTACTATACATTCATAAGAAAATATAGATCTATACTCAGATTATATCTAATACTATTCTATAATCCCTGTATTATGGATAACAAGGTTGTATACTGCCATCTATACTTTTTCAATCTGTGTGTGTGTCCATAGATTACACCTTCATTTTCAGATGCACAAGAAAAAATTGAAGAGAGCAGATGGCTATTTTTAAATAATCTCTGAATAGTTTCTGAATTCAAATAATGACAAATTGTTTTGGAAACAGGGCGCCTGAAGTACATGTATGGTTTTTTTGTTTTATTCTCTGAAATTTCAGTATCTACTAGGTAAAGTTTTGTTGTATTTAACGAGTCTTATGAAATGCCATTAGCTGTATGGATGTTTGGATGATTTCTTAATATCACTCTTCAGGACACTGACAGGCGACTTACTTTAGAATGATACTCTCCGGCGCGATTTGTCTCCCTGATGATTCTAGATGTTATGCTTGAAACAATTACTGTGTTTTACTGATTGGTGTAATATATACCTAAGTACAATGTAGGAGATCAATCCTATATGTTGTTACACCACTTGTACCTGTGCAGGTGATTAGTCCACAGTATTTAACATGTGTACAGATTTGAATTTGATAAGTGAGTGAAAACTGTTAATTGTTCGGCATTTGAATTTGTGATGCCAGATAAAATAAATAGTAATCTTTCTTAAATCTGTTACACATAAATTTCAGAATCGTGACGGTACTATTAGCGGATCTTCCAGAAGAAGTTTAAATCCACAATTTGAAAACAGTCCAGGTAATTGCAAGTCTTAATTATTACTTATTGCCCTTTGATAAAATGTCCATAGCTTAACTTTGCTTTTATTTAATCAAGGATGATGAAACTTGGTGTATATATAGGTCATACAATAACAACATGTAGTGTACTAAATTTATAGCTATTAACCCCTTAAGTACAGAATTATTGCCCATTGATAAAATTTTGTTCTGATAAAAGTTGTTTTCGGGTGGCATTTATCAGTTTCAAAGATACTCTTGTTTGGTTTGTATTGCTGTATTTTAGAATTAGATTGGTTTGTATTGCTGTATTTTAGAATTAGATTGGTTTGTATTGCTGTATTTTAGAATTAGATTGGTGTGTATTGCTGTATTTTAGAATTAGATTGGTGTGTATTGCTGTATTTTAGAATTAGATTGGTTTGTATTGCTGTATTTTAGAATTAGATTGGTTTGTATTGCTGTATTTTATAATTAGATTGGTTTGTATTGCTGTATTTTAGAATTAGATTGGTTTGTATTGCTGTATTTTAGAATTAGATTGGTGTGTATTGCTGTATTTTAGAATTAGATTGGTGTGTATTGCTGTATTTTAGAATTAGATTGGTTTGTATTGCTGTATTTTAGAATTAGATTGGTTTGTATTGCTGTATTTTAGAATTAGATTGGTTTGTATTGCTGTATTTTAGAATTAGATTGGTTTGTATTGCTGTATTTTAGAATTAGATTGGTGTGTATTGCTGTATTTTAGAATTAGATTGGTGTGTATTGCTGTATTTTAGAATTAGATTGGTTTGTATTGCTGTATTTTAGAATTAGATTGGTGTGTATTGCTGTATTTTAGAATTAGATTGGTGTGTATTGCTGTATTTTAGAATTAGATTGGTGTGTATTGCTGTATTTTAGAATTAGATTGGTGTGTATTGCTGTATTTTAGAATTAGATTGGTTTGTATTGCTGTATTTTAGAATTAGATTGGTTTGTATTGCTGTATTTTAGAATTAGATAAATGTAATACATTGCAAAATATTTGTTACATTGAAAACAAAATGGTGAAAAAAGTCAATAGAATTCAACGGAATGTCTTTGTTATATGACACTGGTTGATTTTTTGAAAAAAATATTTTTGTAGATTTCTGTTATTTTATATAACCATAATGTATTATAAATTTTCATGAGTTGAACTAATTGTTCCTCATGTTTGTATGTCTGTGTTGTTTTCTGAATGCCATTTATTTATGTTTAACAGGTCAAAAACAAGGACAGTCATATGATAGCAGAAACAGGCTTCCCACTGTGGTATTTGACAGAACACAACCTCCACCTAGTCTCCCCGTGAAATCCCAGCATGACAGGAATAACTCCAATAACACACATCACATAAACTCTCCACATAGCAAAGGACAGTTTGTCCAAAAAAAGCATAAATATGTTAAAATCACAGACCCTGACGGCCTTGGGTCAGAGACATGGCTCAACTTCAGTTTTGACGTGTCAGCCATCATGGCCTGTGTTCAGTGAAGTTTTTGTGATATGTAAAGCTTAACAGGGTGTTAAGGCATGCTTTAAAAGGACATGGAATGTGAGATTGTGAGCTAGTTAGTCTTGAATACATGAAATCACAGGTGCTTGTCTGTGTTTACAGTGGTTAGATGGATGTTTAAAGGTGGTTTTCTGGTAACCTGTGATTTACTAATAAGGAAGTGATATTTTGATAGTAAGTAAAGAAAGTATCAAGGACATATACTTAGTTTAAATGTAAGGAAATGTAGTGGGCGTGATATTCTTAGTCATTTGTAAAGGTGCTTAGTATGTATGATATTTTATACATAAAGTGTCAAAAATGTTTCTAAGCAACTTGTTGATTTATAAAAAGAATTATATAAAATTGACCACACTCTTGTTTTCTATTATGAAAATCATTATTCACAACTGTATTTCATCAGATACGTCCTGTAGGTTAGAGTTCATAAGCTAATGTATACTGTTTGACAACATTATTTCACACCATTAATTTACTGTTGAAAAAAAATAAAAAATGACTGACTACTGATCGTCTAAGGAAGAAATGGTGGCACCATGACTGAATGTAAAAATACACAGCAGAGATGTAAAATTCTTGTGTGTTGATGACCATCATTCAGTATTTCAGTGACTAGTACTCTTATCAATATAGTATAACAGTAAGTACAGTGAAAACAGACTGTACATCTTAAAAGAGACTGGCCTTATGACTGTGTTAATTCTGTGTTCAGATACAATTTAATTTCCTTCCTTGATTACTTCTATTCATTATTATATGGAGACAAATCTTTATAATTGATGGAAGTCATAATGTAAGCAGAGGATAATTTTTGAGGATCTCTTTAAAAATGTTTGATATCACTATATTGACTGGAGAAGTTTTGAGTGGGTATATAAAATACTAACCCTGTACGTAATATTCTGTACTATATTTAAGGTGTAAGTATCTTGTAACTGTTACATGTATTCATTAACATATAGGAGATGGATCTCTATCAAAGTGCAATTAAAATTCCAATACATAGTAATGTACTGTAATTATCTTACAAGCCTTAGTTTCAACACAACTAACTTAACATATCCCTGATGAACTGCAATTTTTACAAAAAATCTGGATTAATTTCTTTGTTTTACAGTAACTATAATTATCTAAAAAGTGAATTGGTTTCAGCAGTCCAGCCTAAAGGGCTAGTAAACTTATGCAGTGATCCAACATACTTCCGTCCGTTTTCAACTTTTGAAAATTAAACAGTTTTTTTCAATAACAAAAACCTTGGGTACGGATATTGGGCGTGTAGCATGAAAGAAAAAATATTCAAAACAGAAAACTGGATATCTGTTTCATCTTTTTTTATTTTCATAGGCATGTATTTAACATAAATATTTTAATTACATTATTCATATGTTGATTCTTCCATTCAAACAATCTTACACCACTTGTATACGCTGTTTAGTGCTTCTGATATTGAAAATAACAAAATGACTCTTCCTTATAATAAATTACGGCTTTTGAAATTAGAATTTATGGCTCAACCCCTTTGTACCCCTTGAAAAGGGGTCAGAAAAACAGATACTGATTAAAGTCTGATCATGTCAGAATACAAACTTACTCATTTTAGATAACAAGCACTGTACGAGGTTACACATTCTATATTCCCAAAAAAATAAATAGCGAGAGCTGGACATTGTATTCAGGAATAAGAATGACACATCTTGGGTAAAGTAAATTGCAAAACATTCTTCTTAAGTATGTTCTTCAAATATTCTTTCGCATTGTCTGGTAAAATTCAATTAAAAAATTATGAATAATATTTTTACAATTTTAGTTTTTGAAAGAATGATGTACAATTAAAAAAGACAATTAAAAACAATACAAAATGTACAATGTGAGGAGAGTGTGTGGTAATTGTAAATGTCAAAATGCTTGTGAAATATGAAATGTTATGCTATTTTTTGTGAATGTATTTGTGTAGGTACGTGTAATGATATGTGTACAGATGATTTATCAGTGACAGTGCGGATGATGTGTATCAAAATGAACGCCCTCCTGTGTGAGGACATGTTTAGAATTGTTCTTTACTTAAAAAAAAAAAAAATCAAAACAATCTTGGTGGGTTTTAGAAAAGTAAATGACACCGGCATTAAATCTAAATGACAGTAATCAAACCATGGAATATCACTTTGCAGTTTTAGTACAGCAAATAATTACGTCTGTAAAATGATAAATTGATCTGTTTCACATCATGGCACTTGCAAAATGATACAGCTTATAACATGAAAAACAATGGCATCTTATATCTAACATTGTGTTACAATGTATACGACAATGTACAACTATATAATTATGTATCAGAATGTATACTGTCAAACATACAGTAGTAATTTTGATTTAATTTGTCAACCATTAAATCAAAGTGACTTTAGAAATACTTATTACCTGTACTACAAAAATGGCACTGCATCATTGAAGCATCTCCTACACATTCCTGGTATTCTAAATTCCAACATTCCACACAAATTCTGTCAATAATACAATTAATATTATTTGAATCAGTGTCAACACTTGTATTGTCAGTTGCGTTGCGTAACAACTCTGAATTACTGGAGCCATGGAAACAAGAATAACGGAAAAATTGTCATTTGTCAACAAGGACACATTTAAGAGAATACATGTGAAGAACTCGTACATAACAAAGATCCCAGTGGTTCTTACATGAAGCTGCCTTTGTTGACATCTTGACTTACACTAATGTACATTTACGGAACAAACAATTATCACGATATATTTAACAGCAAGTTTGAATTATTTCCATGATAGGAAATAAAACAAATAAGGCCAACAACTGCAGTTTTATAATAAAAATCAAAGTAAACTTTGAGATCCTGAAGTCATGGAATTCACAATTTTGATTAAGTACCTCAAGATCCTTCTATCCATGAATAGTATTGAATTCTAACATATTCTGGTATTAGGAGGACTTTTGTAATCACAATCAACCCAAACCACTTTGACCTGTCCAGCAAGTCCCTAGGGTTAGCCAGGTGCCCACAAAACTGCCATTCCATACTAATAATTCTAACCAATTTCTGATGGAAAGTAAGTGAACAACACTAAAAGATATGTTTCCTCATCCACCCTCCCCTGGGCCTTTTTTTTTTTTTTTTTTTAATTTTCACTCAATTTGATTCAGTTTGGTTCCATCCATCAAGCCCTTTAGGGGCAGGAATGGGTAAATATATATGTGCACATCATTAAACTACTAACTAATTTTGAATTATTTCCAATTGAATTCAAACAAATAAACTCAAACATGCAATTTCCATTGATAAATTATTGTAAATTTTACCCCTTCCCCAAGGGGAGATGCAAGACCCTGGGAATGTGAAAATCACAAAACTATGTAAAGGAATTTAGATTCTACCATACCTGGGTCTATAAAGTACATTTTTGAGTTAATTAAGTCAATTTGACCATTGTAGGCACCGGCCCTCAAATTTATAACCACACAGTTATCATAAACAACAATCTCAGATAAACAGCTTCTTAAATCACACAGAAAGCTTTATAATATGTCAAGTAATCAAAACATAATGAAATTAAAAAAAACAGGAGCATATTTAATGATTTATTAGAAAATAATCTAAATAATTTCATATCAACATATATAAACTGTATTTAATGTATACAGGGAAACTCCTGACAAAGTTTAACATTTATAGGGAAACTCCTGACAAAGTTTAACATTTACAGGGAAACTTTTAACAAAGTTAAACATTTACAGGGAAACTCCTGACAAAGTTTAACATTTACAGGGAAACTTTTAACAAAGTTAAACATTTACAGGGAAACTCCTGACAAAGTTTAACATTTACAGGGAAACTCCTGACAAAGTTTAACATTTACAGGGAAACTCCTGACAAAGTTTAACATTTACAGGGAAACTTTTAACAAAGTTTAACATTTGCAGGGAAACTTTTGACAAAGTTTAACGTATACAGGGAAAGTTTTGACAAAGTTTAACGTCTGTTTTTGTATTTAACAATTAGGATTAAGGTAAAGATGACTTACAGTATGACAATTACAGCTGACATGTATACGTTTTTGGATGAAATGTAACAATTTGAGTTCTTATATAGTTACAAGTTATGCAAGGGTAAAAAAAACACCTTTGGTGAAAATTTCCCTGTGTACAGTATAAAATTGTCATGATCCACATCATTTTGAATTCAAACAACTGGGAAGTGTTGTATACTGTATTGAATGACGAAATAGAAGGAATGTTACCCAATTTGAAATGAAACTTATTATCCATGTATCATCCAGCCTTAAGTTTTTCCTCTACTTACTGTCATGTTTTACCTTACTACAAACATAGGTTATTTGTCTGTGCTGCATTCCCATTCATCCTGACTTCTGGGGTGATTCTTTTCATAATCATTAAGTGTTTATCTATTCTCCATTACCTGTAGGTATATTTGATTATAAAAGCAAGGAGCAGGTTTTCATGAGCTATGCCTGTTTTTCCTTTTCCTTTTGTCTGTAAAATCACAACAATGAAATATTCTGAAATGAAAAACTTTGGCTTAACATTTCACTATAATGACATATCAATAAATGTGAAGCCACCTCTTTATAATCACAGAGAAATATAATTACCTGTATCCTTAACACAGCACTAGAGTGTCATCTCTCACAATAACCCTTCCTTCTCACTACAGTGTTACAGTCATTATCTCACACAATAACCCTTCCTTCTTAACACAGTGTTACAGTGATTCTCACACAATAACCCTTCCTTCTTAACACAGTGTTACAGTGATTCTCAAACAATAACCCTTCCTTCTTAACACAGTGTTACAGTGATTCTCAAACAATAACCCTTCCTTCTTAACACAGGGTTACAGTGATTCTCACACAATAACCCTTCCTTCTTAACACAGTGTTACAGTGATTATCTCACACAATAACCCTTCCTTCTTAACACAGTGTTACAGTCATTATATCACACAATAACCCTTCCTTCTTAACACAGTGTTACAGTGATTCTCACACAATAACCCTTCCTTCTTAACACAGTGTTACAGTCATTATCTCACACAATAACCCTTCCTTCTTAACACAGTGTTACAGTCATTATCTCACACAATAACCCTTCCTTCTTAACACAGTGTTACAGTGATTCTCACACAATAACCCTTCCTTCTTAACACAGTGTTTCAGTGATTCTCACACAATAACCCTCCCATCTCACCAGTATTACAATGATTCTCACACAATAACCCTTCCTTCTTTACAGTGTTGCAATGATTCTCACACAATAACCCTTCCATCTTAACAGTGTTACAGTGATTCTCACACAATAACCCTTCCTTCTTAACACAGTGTTACAGTGATTCTCACACAATAACCCTTCCTTCTTAACACAGTGTTACAGTCATTATCTCACACAATAACCCTTCCTTCTTAACACAGTGTTACAGTCATTATATCACACAATAACCCTTCCTTCTTAACACAGTGTTACAGTAATTCTCACACAATAACCCTTCCTTCTTAACACAGTGTTACAGTGATTCTCACACAATAACCCTTCCTTCTTAACACAGTGTTACAGTGATTCTCACACAATAACCCTTCCTTCTTAACAATGTTACAGTCATTATCTCACACAATAACCCTTCCTTCTTAACACAGTGTTACAGTGATTCTCACACAATAACCCTTCCTTCTTAACACAGTGTTACAGTCATTATCTCACACAATAACCCTTCCATCTTAACAGTGTTACAATGATTCTCAAACAATAACCCTTCCTTCTTTACACAGTGTTACAGTCATTCTCACACAATAACCCTTCCATCTTAACACAGTGTTACAGTGATTCTCACACAATAACCCTTCCTTCTTAACACAGTGTTACAGTCATTATCTCACACAATAACCCTTCCTTCTTAACACAGTGTTACAGTGATTCTCACACAATAACCCTTCCTTCTCTTTTTTACAGACTTTATCTAAAATAACCCTTCCTTCTTAACACAGTGTTACAGTCATTATCTCACACAATAACCCTACCTTCTTAACACAGTGTTACAGTGATTCTCACACAATAACCCTTCCATCTTAACACAGTGTTAAAATGATTCTCACACAATAACCCTCCCATCTCACCAGTATTACAATGATTCTCACACAATAACCCTTCCTTCTTAACACAGTGTTACAGTCATTATCTCACACAATAACCCTTCCTTCTTAACACAGTGTAACAGTGATTCTCACACAATAACCCTTCCTTCTTAACACAGTGTTACAGTCATTATCTCACACAATAACCCTTCCTTCTTAACACAGTGTTACAGTGATTCTCACACAATAACCCTTCCTTCTTAACACAGTGTTACAGTGATTCTCAAACAATAACCCTTCCTTCTTAACACAGTGTTACAGTGATTCTCACACAATAACCCTTCCTTCTTAACACAGTGTTACAGTGATTCTCACACAATAACCCTTCCTTCTTAACACAGTGTTACAGTCATTATATCACACAATAACCCTTCCTTCTTAACACAGTGTTACAGTCATTATCTCACACAATAACCCTTCCTTCTTAACACAGTGTTACAGTCATTATCTCACACAATAACCCTTCCTTCTTAACACAGTGTTACAGTCATTATCTCACACAATAACCCTTCCTTCTTAACACAGTGTTTCAGTGATTCTCACACAATAACCCTCCCATCTCACCAGTATTACAATGATTCTCACACAATAACCCTTCCTTCTTAACACAGTGTTACAGTGATCCGCACACAATAACCCTTCCATCTTAACACAGTGTTACAGTCATTCTCAAACAATAACCCTTCCTTCTTAACACAGTGTTACAGTCATTCTCAAACAATAACCCTTCCTTCTTAACACAGTGTTACAGTGATTCTCACACAATAACCCTTCCATCTTAACACAGTGTTAAAATGATTCTCACACAATAACCCTCCCATCTCACCAGTATTACAATGATTCTCACACAATAACCCTTCCTTCTTAACACAGTGTTACAATGATTCTCACACAATAACCCTTCCTTCTTAACACAGTGTTACAGTCATTATCTCACACAATAACCCTTCCTTCTTAACACAGTGTAACTCAGTGATGATCTCACACAATAACCCTTCCTTCTTAACACAGTGTTACAGTGATTCTCAAACAATAACCCTTCCTTCTTAACACAGTGTTACAGTCATTATCTCACACAATAACCCTTCCTTCTTAACACAGTGTTACAGTGATTATCTCACACAATAACCCTTCCTTCTTAACACAGATTTACAGTAATTATCTCACACAATAACCCTTCCTTCTCGCCACAGATTTACAGTAATTATCTCACACAATAACCCTTCCATCTCACAGTGTTACAGTCATTATCTCACACAATAACCCTTCCTTCTTAACACAGTGTAACAGTGATTCTCACACAATAACCCTTCCATCTAACCCTTCCATCTCACAGTGTTACAGTCATTATCTCACACAATAATCATTCATTCTCATCACAGTATTCGTACATTCTCACAGAATAACCCTTTGCCTCTCAAATTAATATATAGATATGTCATAAAATAACCATCTGTAAATACAAAGTAATCTTTAAGGTGTTTCCTGGCAAGTGGTGATCCTATTCATATGCTCATTGAATGGAGCATTGTCCTGAAATAGAATTATGAAAATCTTGATAATCATTTTAGCAGTTCTGTGTATATACTTTGATATATTGGAATTTGATGCATTTGATCTTAATATTAGGTAGCAGAGGTTTTTAACACTTAGTTTTTCTTATCCTTATCTGTATTTTCTAAAAATGAGTTTGAATTTACTTATCATAGATCAACAGCTATCCAACTATCTATAAAAAAAAACATATACAAATTTAAGAGAGAGAAAAAAGATAATTACAATTTCTTGTTACAAGCAAAATGTTTATACAAAAGAAATGTATCTTTTAGTTTCTAAATATATGATGTAATTCAATTTAAATCCTGTACAATGAAAAATACAAAAGTATCTCTTAAAAATTTGATCAATTTCAAACAATGGTAAATATCTCTAAAATCTTTGGATATTGTTCCTTCTTTGATACTGGTGAGCTTACTTAACATAACTTAAAACATTATGATTAGAAAGTTAATATTAACGATAGTTCTGTGGTCCCCCTATATCAGCAGGTGTTCTAATATTTCAAAATGACCTCAGTAGGCGACATTTCTGGTAGTGTTGTTTATGACACACCTACATTAAGACTACTGTTTGTTCTAGCTTACCAAGGTATTTATTGTCTGTCTCTTCCTCTTGTGTAGAAGTATCTGCTGTGTTGAGTTGCTGAATAGATAGAAAGGTCTGGATCTTTTCTGCTTCTTCCATCCATAAATGAGTCTGATAAAACATAAAACATTCAATTCACACAAAAAACAGTAAATGTATGAAAATATCTTTTTTAATATTTCTGATTAAAACAATTATAAAGATAAAACTAGTGTTTAGTCATAGAAAAATTGTGACTAACAAAACTTTATTGTACTTACTCTAAAACTGCCAATATGTTTCCCATCATCTATAATATCTAACATCAAAGTACACTAATGAACTAAAACGCCAATTCTATACATACTTAAAGCACCAGAGTGTGGATATATGTTTCTGTTTTTCACAATAATTGTCTCCATGTTTGAGAGTTTCCCTGTCAAACATTTACAATATAAGATTTCCAAATTCATTTCTTGTACAGCATCAACTGTATCAATATAGAAGTAGACCACATATAGAGTGTTGTTTATGATAAACCCAAGTGATTATAATCACGGATTCTCACCTGTTTCCCTAACAAGTCTTTTCTTTTTCCTTTTGGTTCCTCTGTAATAAAACAAGAATATGTACTCTCAAATGACAAGGAATTATTATACCATACCAAAATCAATCTCTTGACCTTTTGTTACATACTGTATATTTATTTGTACTGGAACAGCATTTGCTTTCTCCCAGTTTCAAGACAGATAAATAGAATATGAAAACTCCTACCCGATACGTATATAGACAACTAAGAACAATCTGTATAGAAAATAAGATATCATATTTCAACATTTTGATAAGTCATTAAAAGTAATGTAAAGTAGGCTACATGGTTTTCTAGTTGTTAACACTATACTTATAGTACTATCTGTATGAAATACGTGATAATTAAAACATGAGGCCCATGGGCCTTAATGGTCATCTGACATAAAATACAACATTTCAAATTTTGAACTTGAGAAGAAGTCGAAAATGTTTTTTCAAGATGGCGGCCATGTTGGATTTCGGACCAACCCGAAATTAACAAACTTCGGTCAGGATCATGTCACGATCATTTCAGGTAAGTTTCAGCTCAATGAGACATGTAGAACTTGAGAAGAAGTTGAAAATTTTTACGACGAATGACGCCGGACAAAAGGCGATCGCAATAGGTCATCAGACCCTTCGGTCAGATGACCGAATAAATACCAGGTATCATTCCATAATTAATACTGATACCTGTTTTAGGACTAGTATACATATATGTACATAAAAACACTCTGTAGGCAACCTGTTTTTAATCAAATGTACAAATGATTCATTATTTGATAAAACAAAAATCACTCTCACATAAAACTGTAATGAATTAAATATACCTTTCAGGGCATGGATCACAGTTCTTAATCCCAGTTCATAGTGGCCAAGTGCAGATTCATAATCTTCAGCTGTATGCTGAAATCCATTATAAAATGTTAAGTAGATTGCAAACAACAAATTCATATTACTACTTCTACAAAAAAAAAATTAATTTTGAAATGGTAGCCACAAAATCGCATTATTTCTAGATTAGAATTTATCATTCAGTATCCATCGATTTGATGGAAAGTTTAGCTATAGTTCAAACTATGAAAAGAACCTCCAACCTAGAAATATACATCCAAAGCTTGTTCATTTCCTGGTTGGGGCATAAAATTACTTCTCCTGGGGTGTTTTTTAATTTTATTGTATATTTTACAGTCAGTAATTAATGCTAGTTATGTTTCTCTTTGTTCAACAGGGTAAAGCTTTGGTATATTATCATGAATAGTACAGACTAAAACATATTTCCATTCCAGTTTAGTAGTATTATGTAGACAACTTTGTACAACAGTTTTACCTCAATCTCCGCTCCTTTAACGACTTTTAATGCTGCAATCATTTCATCATTGTGTTCATACATCTCCACTGCAAAAAAATATATAAAAAAAATAAAATGTTTTTATGAAAATAAAATAAATCACTTCATTAACAAGAGGCCTTGCAGCCTTAACGGTCACCTGAGATTAGCAATATTGAACATTAAAGTTATAGGGTAAGTTGCTTTCAAGTGACACGAAAAAGAAATTGTGATAGTTATGAAAGTAAGACTTAAGTGATATGTTTCAAGTCCTTTGGAGCCCATCATCCAGTGTCAATATATGCATAGCGTAAAAACTGTCATTCTAATCTAATTATTCTTACCAAGTTATTTCAAATGAATATAACAACTTTATTCTCAAAAATCCAATTATCTGATAAAACTAGAATAAACTTCAACCCCTGCCCAGGAGAAAATGTGAGACCCTGGGGTCATGAAATTCACAACTTTGTTAAAGCACCTAAAGATGCTTCCATCCATGAAGAGTATTTGACACTACCATATCTGGGTGTTGAGCAAAAGATTTTTGAAATTTAAATCAATTTGACAAGTTAATGTTATTGTGGGTTTGTCCGATGTCACATGACTTACAGTGTTGTTATTGTGGGTTTGTTTGATGTCACATGACTTACAGTGTTGTTATTGTGGGTTTGTCCGATGTCACATGACTTACAGTGTTGTTATTGTGGGTTTGTTTGATGTCACATGACTTACAGTGTTGTTATTGTGGGTTTGTCTGGTGTCACATGACTTACAGTGTTGTTATTGTGGGTTTGTTTGATGTCACATGACTTACAGTGTTGTTATTGTGGGTTTGTCTGATGTCACATGACTTACAGTGTTGTTATTGTGGGTTTGTCTGATGTCACATGACTTACAGTGTTGTTATTGTGGGTTTGTCTGATGTCACATGACTTAGTTTTGTTGTTGTGGGTTTGTCTGATGTCACATGACTTACAGTGTTGTTATTGTTGGTTTGTCTGATGTCACATGACTTAGTGTTGTTATTGTGGGTTTGTCTGATGTCACATGGCTTACAGTGTTGTTATTGTGGGTATGTCTAATGTCACATGACTTACAGTGTTGTTATTGTGGGTTTGTCTGATGTCACATGACTTACAGTGTTGTTATTGTGGGTTTGTTTGATGTCACATGACTTACAGTGTTGTTATTGTGGGTATGTCTGATGTCACATGACTTACAGTGTTGTTATTGTGGGTTTGTTTGATGTCACATGACTTACAGTGTTGTTATTGTGGGTTTGTTTGATGTCACATGACTTACAGTGTTGTTATTGTGGGTTTGTTTGATGTCACATGACTTACAGTGTTGTTATTATGGGTTTGTCTGATGTCACATGACTTAGTTTTGTTGTTGTGGGTTTGTCTGATGTCACATGACTTACAGTGTTGTTATTGTGGGTTTGTCTGATGTCACATGACTAACAGTGTTGTTATTGTGGGTTTGTCTGGTGTCACATGACTTACAGTGTTGTTATTGTGGGTTTGTCTGATGTCACATGACTTACAGTGTTGTTATTGTGGGTTTGTCTGATGTCACATGGCTTACAGTGTTGTTATTGTGGGTATGTCTGATGTCACATGACTAACAGTGTTGTTATTGTGGGTTTGTCTGGTGTCACATGACTTACAGTGTTATTGTGGTTTGTTTGATATTAAATGACCTAGTGTTGTTGTGGGTTTGTTTGATATTAAATGACTTAGTGTTATTGTGGTTTGTTTGATATTAAATGACTTAGTGTTGTTGTGGGTTTGTTTGATATTAAATGACCTAGTGTTGTTGTGGGTTTGTTTGATATTAAATGACTTAGTGTTATTGTGGTTTGTTTGATATTAAATGACTTAGTGTTGTTGTGGGTTTGTTTGATATTAAATGACTTACTGAGCTTTCATAGCGGAAATGTCTGAGGTAACATGATTTGATGACAGTGTTTTTTTTGTAGTGAGATCATGTAAGTCACATAACTTACACAATATTGTTGTTGTGGAATTGTCTGAGGTCACATGACTAAGAAATGTGGTTATCTGATGTCACATGACTAAGAAATGGGGTTGTCTGATGTCACATGACTTACAAAGTTGTTGTAGTGGATCAGTAGAACAAGATCTTTTCAGAACTTCATTCTTTTTTGGCTTCATTAATGTCTTTAATTCTTCAGCTCTGTTAATGTATTCTTTAACCTTGGAAGTAAAGCAAAACAAAAATCATTTACAGTCTCTTTACTCTGCATGCTGAATGCCACTATGATAGAGGAAAAACTGCTGTGTCAGCTATTCATTATCTGTAAACTTTCACAGTCATAGCTTTCTGAAGCTAAAGTTGTTTTTAAATTGGTTAAAAAATCAAACACAAAAAACAGTCTGAGTAAACATTTTCACTAAATTTTTGTACATATCTCTTATTTGTTCTATATAAGTATGCTTACTTTTTTCCTCAGTACTTCTTTCTTTTCTCTATCTTTCTCATCTGGAGACAAAAACAAATGAAACAAATCAGTTTTTACCTTATTTAACCATCTTGGTAAAATTGATATTTCAGTTACGTCTAGGTACAGTAAACATGGATGAGTAGAAGTCGACTGGACAACATGAAATATTGGACTTACAAGATGATTCAACTCAGCTGTGTTTCTATATATTTTTTAATGGAGACATTGTGCATTGGAGATTGACCCTATTTTCATCAGTTGTTTACCGGATACGTGTAAACAGAGGGATTAATGTTCGACTGAAAATTACATAGGGGCTTGTTAACACAGATACGGCTGACCGATCACTCTCAGTCATCTGTACCAAAGTCAGGAAATTTTTACCCGAGACAGGGTGACACCTGAATCTTCGACACAAGAAAGGACATTTTGGTAGATTTTATAAGGGATGGACCACAAATTATATGCAACAAAACTTGGTATATGGCTCAACAGTGTTTCAATCATCTGTGTTTAATTTACTAAGATGCAGAAGAGAAAAAATCGGTACCAAAAAAAACATTTGACTTATCTGATGTATTTGATCAAAGTGTGTTTGACACAAGTGAGTTTTACTTTATGGTATATAAAAATAAAATAAATGTCAGGTCACAGATGAAGGTATAATGTAACACAAAGCAACACAGAACTCTACGACTGAGGAAATATGTTAATGTTAACAAGCTTTAATAAAACTTATATTGAAAATTGTATCATTTCACTGTCATGAAAATAGGGAAAAACTCACGATGGATGGCTGGGATGAAGTGAGAGAGAGAATCACAGTAGTGTTTTACAGCTGCTGCATAATCTCCTTTCTGGTCTGAAAGTACAGCATCCCGTACAATGGCTACCTGTAAATACACAAAAATACATTACAGTATCACATAACATGGACACAAATAATTTTAATCATGAAGTCACTTTGCACCAAATATAATGCGAAGGTATCGGCAGATCGGAAAGGACAGAAAAATGTGTGAAATCGCTTACCGCTTTATCCAAGGATTGATTACTAGGCATATGGTCAAGATCAACAAACGGATGATTAAAGAAGTCATCGAAGCCTATTCTCTTATCCGGGTCTCTTTTCAGCATCCGTAGTAAAATATTTCTACACGAGTCTGAAACCGTGACACCATAAGGAAGCTGAAAAACACCAACATCAGATTGATAAATGTGAAAACAGACCTGTATCTAACACCAACATCAGATTGATAAATGTGAAAACAGACCTGTATCTAACACCAACATCAGATTGATAAATGTGAAAACAGACCTGTATCTAACACCAACATCAGATTGATAAATGTGAAAACAGACCTGTATCTAACACCAACATCAGATTGATAAATGTGAAAACAGACCTGTATCTAACACCAACATCAGATTGATAAATGTGAAAACAGACCTGTATCTAACACCAACATCAGATTGATAAATGTGAAAACAGACCTGTATCTAACACCAACATCAGATTGATAAATGTGAAAACAGACCTGTATCTAACACCAACATCAGATTGATAAATGTGAAAACAGACCTGTATCTAACACCAACATCAGATTGATAAATGTGAAAACAGACCTGTATCTAACACCAACATCAGATTGATAAATGTGAAAACAGACCTGTATCTAACACCAACATCAGATTGATAAATGTGAAAACAGACCTGTATCTAACACCAACATCAGATTGATAAATGTGAAAACAGACCTGTATCTAAACTCAGTACGTAAACAAACAATTATTAGAAGTAAGCTGTCAATTTGAATATACTTCCACTTTTAGTGTTTGTTCATTACAGGTTTTTCACCTCCTTGACTTGTCCTATTTCTGGGATTTTTACATTGACAAACGTCGGTGTTCTAGTGACATAAAAGCGTGGACTAGATCCCAATATGGGGTTGAGTCATCTGTCAAGATGTCCAAATTGTTGGCTTGTTTTAGAAGACAACTCCTGGGTCTAATGGTGCCTTATCCTGTGGGTGACATAGATAGCGTTTGCCACATCGTACCAGTCGATTCTTGTCGGTTTGGTTAGAAGGGGTTGGGTGAGGTTGACGTGATTTTTATTGAATGTTACTTATTCCTTCTAATATCTTCATAACAAATATTTTAACCCTATATTCCCAAAACCTGTTGATCAGTGTTATCATGCTTACTCTCCTGTTCTCATATTACTTTCTAGTACATGTATATGTTGAAGGTCTATTGAAACAGCTGAGTCAATCAGGTGACAAGGTGAGCTTTTAATCAGCTGGCCTCTGATGTAACTGCAGAGACTGGACATATAGGAATATTTCTTTCTTTTTTTTTCACTGTTTTCTGCATTTGGCTAAGATTTTGGAAAATACTCACATGTAGATTTTTTATCCAGGTATAAAAGCAATAGTAAGTTCTAAATAAAATTTTAATGTCTGATGCCAAATACAATATATACCTCTACTGGTTTTGAATCCCAAATTTTCTCCTCAAGTTCCTTCAAGTTTTTGGAAGCAAAGGGTGCGCGACCAAATAAACATTCTGTGAAGAAAAGAATTTAAAGTTCAAACTAATACTGATCCTCTCTCTGCAAATTTGATATAAAAATAATATCATATGAAAATTTCAATAGGTTAACATAAATTCTGAAAATCATTTCTCTATCTAAAGTTTCTAATGTTGTCAACCTTTAACCATTATATATGTAAAACCTTATCACAGATCTTAAAAAGCTAAGTGTTTAAGGGTCATCACTCATCAGTGAAAACAAATTATAATCAGTTCCACTGAATATCAATCATCACATTTATTTGTACTTAGATAACCAGATGTTGTATATTATGTTTGAACATTTTTGTCTATATAAGACCCAAAAGTTGATACTGAAATTTTTTCAATACTGATTAAATGTGAAGAAATATTAGGTAATTCTAGCATTCTTCATATTTTTAGCAGGTCATGATACAGCTAACATCAAGTTTGCATGATAAAATCAGGTGAACTGACACAGAATCTTGCACATTTTAACTGACATCACATTCGTAAATACTGAGGATGATATATTTTTTGTATGAACATGTAATGTACCAGAGAAAGCCTTTACAATTCTTCAGTACGTATGATTTGGTAGTTCTGATTGTCACTAGTTACACTAAATTATGAGTACTTTTGCAAACACAACCAACATTACATTTGCTTCATATTACAGACAGAAGATTACTTTAATAACGGGTTACGTTTAGAGTTCAATTAAAAGTATTGTTTCAAGATTAAGCAAAATGTATGACACCTAGAATTAATAGGTAACTTTAAAAAGTGTCAAATGTAATCATGGTAGGTTTCCAAATAAATGAGCAAATACCATTTAAGCAGCAAATCTTTTAAGGTTTTTTCAATTTTTGCAAGATTTTACATCAACATATATTATACAAGACACACATTCATACACATCCATATACCAGTAACACATAAGGATACATCAATATATCATCTTATCATTATTATTATTAAGTCATTAATACATAATCATATTACATCCATCATCATCATCGTTGTCATCATCATCATCATCATCATCATCATCATCATCATCATCATTACTATCTCATCAATTGATAATAACACATCATCGTCATCATCATCGTCATCGCCATAATTGTCATTATCATCGTCATCATCACTGTCATCATCATAATGAAATAATTTAATAAATGCCATGATATGATACTAATCCTCATTATTATCATCATTGAAACACACATGCACACTCTCTCATACCCACCCATATACATACAACCATTCATAAGATATGTAGACAAATTAGAGAAGCTTAATCAAAACTTAATTATTGAATTATTGATATGAAATGATAGCAAGGTAAAAACACACTTAACCATATATTCAACTCCTAACCCTACCATAAAATATTACTTCTATAAACTAGATGTCAAGAAAAGCATCATTCCTTACTTACCATAGAGGATGACACCTATTGACCAGATGTCAACACGAGCATCATATATCCCTTTACATATTATTTCAGGTGCCATATACAAAGGTGATCCCCTCATCGCGTGCAGCTCATCACCATGGAACATGTGTTTAGCAAAACCAAAATCTAAAACATTAAAAAAGCATACAGAGACAAGAGAATCAAACATAACCCCACAAATATGAACACATCTAAAATGACATGCCACATACAGAGCAGATATTGACAATTAATTTGCTAAGAACTTAAAATGCAATAAATAATATCTAAGAGTGTCATCTTTTATCTGTAAGGAAACACACTCTGTCCCCAGCTGTGTTTGTACTAGCGACCCTTTGGTCTCTAGCCGAACACTTTCCCACTCAATTTAATTGAAATTCCCACTAGCTGAGGCTAGTTAGGTGATCTGTTAACTCATCTACTACATATCTAACTTAAACAACAGATTGGAAAAAAGCCAGTTACTCTAATATTAAAGTGTTATGATGAGCAAATCTTACCTGCAATTTTGAGAGATGGATTTGCTGGTGAAGATAAGAGGATGTTCTGTGGTTTTAGGTCCATATGTGCTACGTTATGCTCTCTCAAGTACCTCATAGCTTTCACTTGAGACAAAAATATGATAATCAGTTGTTGTTCTTAAAAATTATCATCAGATAAGGAGTATCAATCACAACAGCATTGGAGTGAAATTATTATGGCACAATAACTTAGGTGTACAAAACATTGCAGTACTTTTTACAACTTAGTTTTTATATCTTAAAAATTAGTATGAGAAAATTCTCAACAATCAACATTTGAGCTGACTATGTGTTTATATAACACTTACTGTCTGAAGTCTATCATGTAATCAAACCAATACATCATTACTGTGATGTTTTTGTGAAATTATGTTGTATTTGTTTATCTGCAAGAATTGTCAGTTCAAAATATGCCAAGCTATGAGAAGTTTCTTACCAATTTGCTGTAGAAATCGCTTGACTATGTATTCAGGCAGGGTCCTTTTGGAGCGTATAAAATGGGACAAGTCTCCACCACTGTAATATTCCATAATGAGATAAATACACTTTTCATCCCACTGAAAATATAAAGAATAGTTTAATGAAAATAAAATATTATTGTATGATAAGCTGACCTATCGTGCAGTTAAACATGTAAGATATCAAAAGTTGAACTCTGGTACACAAGTTTGCTAGACTGTCCACAGAACACACTTTAACATACACAGAAATGTATACCACAATGACATTTATGGAAATCAGATTAAAAGTCGCCTCTAATACACACACTTTAACATACACAGAAATGTATACCACAATGACATTTATGGAAATCAGATTAAAATCGCCTCTAATACACACACTTTAACATACACAGAAATGTATACCACAATGACATTTATGGAAATCAGATTAAAAGTCGCCTCTAATACACACACTTTAACATACACAGAAATGTATACCACAATGACATTTATGGAAATCAGATTAAAAGACCACTCTAGTACACCCAAATAAAAATACACAGAAATGTATACCACAATGACATTTATGGAAATCAGATTAAAAGTCGCCTCTAATACACACACTTTAACATACACAGAAATGTATACCACAATGACATTTATGGAAATCAGATTAAAAGTCGCCTCTAATACACACACTTTAACATACACAGAAATGTATACCACAATGACATTTATGGAAATCAGATTAAAAGTCGCCTCTAATACACACACTTTAACATACACAGAAATGTATACCACAATGACATTTATGGAAATCAGATTAAAAGTCACCTCTAATACACAGGTATAAGATATATCGTGTACATACCTCCATTAGAAAACATCAGTATCAGGATAATGGCTCATTTTAGGGAAATCATTTAGCAACACATTTCAGTGTGGACAAACATGATGATTATCTCCCTTTTCAGAAGTAATGACTAGATATACAAACCTGGAAATCCTTGAGTTCCACAATGTTGTCATGTTTTAATTTTTTCAAGAGTTCTATTTCTCTTAGTAAATTCTCTGATGAAGCTTTATTTAAAGATGACCTCAAAACACACTTTACAGCTACAACTTCTCTAGTACCATGCTGAAAAAACAACTTTATATTTAAAGAAAAAACACATGTAAATATCTAAAACTTTATAAAAAGCTCCAACCTCAGACTTAAAGTTTTGACAGATGTTGCATAATAACAAATCAATTATGCTTTTTCTGGAGCCATTCTTCGATTAATACACATGTGTGTACTTAGCAACCAAGATTATCCTGCTCTGTTAAACCTTGGCATACTGTGATATCGTTTAGTGTTACTAAATTTTTAGGTGTTCAATTTGTGTTGAAGATATTTAGCACAATATTGTATATTGATATACAAATAATTACAAATAATTAACCCATAGGCCAAATGTACTTTATAAATTCTAGACAGTGTGAAGCTTATTCTTGCATTAACTGTTAACTGATGCATGTATGACATTAGTGATCACAGCATCAGACAAATCTAAAACTCTTTAATAATCTTGAACAATCAAATTCTTATTTCCAAACACAGCAAGGACATGTGTAGATAATTTATTTACTGGTTAACTGTAATTTCATTCGGGTCAAGTTATAAATCAATATTTTTGTAGTCTGACCAAAATTATAGTCAATAACTCGTATCTATAGGCATGGTCGGGCTAAGATTTTTGTACATTACATGAATAATAATATGAAACAAAAATTAACTATCTAAAAAAATAATGAATCCTTCGCGAGCAAGTTATTAGATAAATGAATTGTTAATTGCTAAATATCCCCACTGATTAAGATGCACTTCAAATTGCACATACAAGAGGCATCTTATTATCAAATAAGATTTAGACCAATGCAGACGATGCATGTTTGGCGACACTGACAGCTGATGATGAGTCAACACGAAAAATAGCATCTATCGCATGTATTTTAGGTGAAATTAATTACATTTTACAGGATATTATACCTTTTTGTAAGCTTTATATACCGTAGCATAGGTACCACTACCAAGTTTTTCAGTAAAGACATATCCGTCTAATTTCGGTTGAGAAATTGAAGCTGACATCGGTCGAGCCATGGTCCCATGTTGTTATTTTCGTTTCTAATTATATTACCTCCAATACTGAAGATTTCCACGACAGGTGCTCGTTAAAAGTGATTTTTGGAAATTATATATTAAAAATGAATAAAATGTCTAGAATTTCACACTTATCATTATTAATAATCTACTATTCTGAATATTTATTATGTTTACAAAGATTTTCGATTACTCAACAAGGCGAGATTTCACAAATATTGTTTAAAAATGGCGGCAAAGGTTAGCAATGTAACTAGGGAAAGTTGTTTACATCGATTATATTGTGAGTATTTTATGTCTATTTAATTTGACTTGATACGACACCCTGTAAAGATAAACTCTACTTTTATGGAAGGGTATATAAATGAAATTAAGACACTAACGATCACAATCTTCATATGTTACCAAATACATTTTTAACACCTTTTCGTTCTAGTCAACTCATTTTTGGCACATCACCAAGACTAGACTGGACCACATTTTGTATGATTGTCCTGTATTTGGTTCGGCGTGGACATTGGCATCAATTAACTCGTTTAGGTGAAAGATTTGTTTGAAATAGCCAAGTTTTATTTTTATCTTGAATGTTCATCAAGTTTTATATTTTTACTATAAGGACAGTTAATTGATGTAAGTTAGATGTATACAGTTGTAGATAATTTGAAATATACATGTAAACGTATAGACTCTGTATATGTTTATGTATGTAAAATGTAAAATGCCAATGTAATCAATGTCATTATTTGTTCTAGTCCAAGTGTTCTAACTTATCTATCAACATTTTTAAAATTTTTTCCTTGTAATGAACGATCGTCAGTAGAATTCCCACATATATAAAAATGCCAAAATTCTTGTGTCTCCAGCAAGAATCGGCATTTCGGCAAAATTTTAAATAAAGATAATTTCTCTTTAGCTCTATTAGTTTGGTGTAAGACTAGTAAGCCAGAGGTTTCGGGTCCTAACAGAGGCATTGGGAAAATAATGACCCCTGATATATACATGTACCTTGTAGAGTACGCGTAATGATCCCTGATATATGTATGTGCCTTGTAGAGTACGCGTAATGATCTCTGATATATGTATGTGCCTTGTAGAGTACGCGTAATGACCCCTGCTATATGTACGTACCTTGTAGAGTACACATAATGACCCCTGATATATGTACGTGCCTTGTAGAGTACACGTAATGACCCCTGATTTATGTATGTGCCTTGTAGAGTACGCGTAATGACCCCTGATATATATGTACGTGCCTTGTAGAGTACACGTAATGACCCCTGATATATGTAGGTGTCTTGTAGAGTACACATAATGACCCCTGATATATGTATTTTCCTTGTAGAGTACACATAATGACCCCTGATATATGTACGTACCTTGTAGAGTACACATAATGACCCCTGATATATGTATGTGCCTTGTAGAGTATGCGTAATGACCCCTGATATATGTATGTGCCTTGTAGAGTACACATAATGATCCCCGATATATGAAAGTGCCTTGTAGAGTACGCTTAATGACCCCTGTTATATGTATGTGCCTTGTAGAGTACACATAATGACCCCTGATATATGTATTTTCCTTGTAGAGTACACGTAATGACCCCTGTTATATACATGTGCCTTGTAGAGTACACATAATGACCCCTGTTATATACATGTGCCTTGTAGAGTACGCGTAATGACCCCTGTTATATACATGTGCCTTGTAGAGTACGTGTAATGACCCCTGTTATATACATGTGCCTTGTAGAGTACATGTTAATATGTAATGTATTATTGTACACAATTGACCTTATTTTTGTCCATCCATCTACACTTATCCGCAAATGACAACTATTTGTAAATTTTGATTGAGCGATACATTGATTAAAAGGTCATAGTTTATGCAAGTTTTATCAAAAGGTTGTTCTGGTGTATCATGAATTCAGTTTGAAAATAAAAATGAAAATCTATTTTTTTTATCTTTATCAGAAATATGCCAGGTGTAGTTAAGAAGACTGTGGTGTGTTACATCTGTGGTAGAGAGTTTGGGTCATCTTCTGTATCCATTCATGAACCTCAGTGTTTGAAAAAGTGGCATGCAGAAAATAACAAATTGCCCAAAGGTCAGAGGAGGAAAGCACCTGTAAAACCAGAATTTCTGCCGTCAATTGGAAGTGATGGAAATGACCGAGAGCGTTTCAATGAAGCAGCATGGCAGAGTGCTCAGTCACAGTTGCTGCCATGTGAAAACTGTGGTCGAACTTTTGCTCCAGACAGACTCCCTGTCCACCAGAAGGGATGCAAATCAGGTACATTTCTGCATTTCTATTTTGATTGGTACTGAGTGTTGCTGATAATATTTAAAATTTGAGTAAGTGAGTTGTTTATTATTGATTGTAGAATCATTTTAGTACTGGCGGGGGATACTGGTATTTTTTTCCTGTGGAGGGAGGGAGGTTACTATGTATTTTTTATTTTTTTAAGTCATATTTATAAAAATCAAGAATCTATGGATTTTATAAATGTATAATAGTCCGACTAATAATTTTACAGATAACCCCATGCAGTTAAAGGTAAAACCAGGAGGATCAAATCAGAATGGTTCTAATTCAGACAACCAGATTCGCCCTAAAACTGTCAAGCTCTCTGCCCCCAAAGTCTTGCATAAAACAAATGCTGTAGATCTGGAGAAACAGTCAACAAGAGACAACACTGTTCCTCAGCAGAGGAGGAGAAGCAATAGTCCTCAGTCTTCTGAAGGAACTCCTACTCCTACCGATACCGGTCCTGGAATACAACGTGAGGGAACATTCACATCACCCAATCAGAAGCCGCCAAAGTCTACACCAGCTCCTCCAGCTCCTGGCTTTGTTTTATGCTATATCTGTGGTAGGAAATTTGGATCTAAGTCAATAGCTATACATGAACCTCAATGCCTTGAAAAATGGAAGGTAGAGAATGATCAGTTGCCGAAATCCCAGCGTCGTAAACCACCCAAGAAACCGGAGATTGTTGGAGGGGCTGGAGGAAGTTATGATGTTGATGCCATGAATGAAGCTGCTTGGCAGAGTGCTCAAAGTCAACTTATTCCTTGTGACAGATGTGGGCGTACATTTGCCCCAGATCGTCTCTCAGTTCACCAGCGTGCCTGTAAAGCACCTCCAGGGGCTGCTAAACAGCCAGCATCTACAGGAAACAGCAGTGGATCATCCAGTGGAAATTCTGGAGGACAAATGTCGCCAACTAAATCCAAAGCTGCTCCTGCTGGTCCACAGTTTGTATTGTGTTACATCTGTGGCAGAAAGTTTGGAACAAAGTCAGTAGCCATCCATGAGCCTCAATGCCTTGAAAAGTGGAAAACAGAAAATGACCAGTTGCCAAAAGGTCAACGACGTCCAGTTCCTAAGAAACCTGAAGTGTTGAAAACTACTAGTGGTAGCTATGATGTTGATGCTATGAATGAAGCTGCCTGGCAGAGTTCCCAGTCTCAACTGATACCGTGTGGTAACTGTGGGCGTACATTTGCTCCTGATCGTCTTTCTGTTCACCAGCGTAGTTGTAAGCCCAAGGGAGGGGCAGCTAATATGGATACCTCTTCAACCTCCGCACCTCTCAATCAGACCTCTGGTGGTATGATGGGTGGAAGCCCTGGGGGATCACCCCCAAAAGGAGGACCCAGAACAGTGGTTTGTTACATCTGTGGGAGAGAGTTTGGAAGCAAATCTCTTCCAATCCATGAGCCTCAATGTATGGAAAAATGGAAGATTGAAAACAACAAACTGCCAAAGGAACGACGACGCCCAATGCCTAGGAAACCAACGACAGAGGATGGAGCTCCACTTACAAGGTACACTTGATGTAAACAGAATAACAGCAAATTTTCAGTCCTGGTTGAATACTACTCATATATATCATATCAGACATTATTAAAATGTTACTGGTAAATAGACTAAAAGATAAATGTTTATGACATCTGAATAAACAAATAATTCAAATAACCACCCACTCTTGTAATACAAAGTGTGTTGATACTTAAGTCAAGGGATTTAAATCATACATGCAGGAGTGACTTTGTTTACACAGGGAACAAATGAATGATGCAGCATGGGAGAACGCCAAAGCTCAGTTAATTCCATGTGAAAATTGTGGGCGTCGTTTTGCTACAGACAGATTGGATGTCCATCAGAGATCGTGTAAACCTAAGGATGGGAGTCCACCAAAACCAGCCAAACAGGTAATTTGTACAATCCAGCTACTTACTGATATTCAATGTACAACACGAACAGATTTTACCATGTTGGATGTGCCCCAATTCTACAGCTATCATATTTTTAACTGTTCTACTCCTTGATGACCGTCATTGTTAATTTGCAGGCAGCGCCTCCTCGGAAGCCCAACTTCATGGTGTGTTATATTTGTGGTCGGGATTTTGGGAGTAAATCAATCTCCATACATGAACCCCAGTGTCTCCAGAAATGGTCTGTGGAAAACAGCAAACTGCCTAAACACCAGCAAAGACCATTACCTAAGAAACCAGAGATACAAAACATTTCAGGTATACAACATATCTGTGTTTTAGAGCTGTTATAAATAACCAACTTTAATGTCCTGCGGTCATTGTGGATATACATAATCACTATATTCTTGACAAAATCTATAGATTTAAGATTTTTATTTTATTATATTTCTTGTAGAATTAAAGGTAGTTTTGGATTTTGTTTTCAACATTGTGTATAGGAATAGAATTATTTCTGTTCTTTTTTATGCCCCCATACAACTCAGTTTGTGACAAACTGTTTTTCCCTATGTCTGCCTGTCCATCCGGCCGGTCGGCCACTGCAATAAAGATTGAAACTTTTTAAGCAAATTTTTTGAGACCTTTTAAAATAAAAACAGTTCAACAATGCTAATTTCTGACATTTATATCACTTTGAGGTCTCATATGTGGTTAAGAACTACTCCAGTGAAAAGAAAACAAAGCAGTGCATGTTGTAATGATTTATTAACTGTGAAAGGATGTTGTGAAGATTAAGAGGTTAAACAGGTGTCACCTGCTATATATGCTGTTTATTGTATTACATGTAGGTATCGGGGTGTGAAGATATTGTAAGAGTCATCTTCTCCTGTCATGTGTTCATATGCTTAGATCATGATCATAAAAAATGCTGACAACATCATCCAGATCATTTTTTAGCATTTTATTTTACTATTTCATTTTTTGTAATTAATGAAAAATAAAAAAAAAAAAAGATCAGCTGTTAAATATTTTAACCATGATGTTAACTTGGTTTTTGATGTATATCTTTTCATGTAGGTACTGGTTCATACAACGTTGAAGATTTTAATCAAGCTGCATGGGAGAGTGCCCAGGCTCAGCTTGTCCCATGTGATAACTGTGGACGCACATTCATGCCTGATCGTCTGACAGTTCATCAGAGGAGCTGTAAGCCAAAGCCTCCAAAGGACAACTGAAATTTGGAGATAAAAGTGGAAGAGGAAGTCATTAGTAGCTTAAAATTTCTGGAGATAAGAATTTCTAGAAGACGGATCAATTCAGAGTATCCAAAATACTGGAAGGTTGCCAAGATATTATTGTCATTAGAAATCCAACTCCCTTTCGTTGTCAGGGTATACTCCTCAAATATGGAGGAAGGGCATTAAAAAATGTTCTATACAAGAAATAGATATAAAAACAAAATAATACCATTTTAGTTATCACAGGAAATGTTTATAGAATGTGAATGAATCTAAAATAATAGGTGCTTCATTACCTGATTGAATATGAACAGATTTGAAGTTTTGATAGATGGAGGATGGACCACAGATGCAGGGCAATTTGAACAGCCCAGCATCAGATGATGGTGGACTACACCATCATCACATGGTAGCTGTTCCTGTTTGATTTTGGGACTGATCAGAAAAACAAAATGGCTGACAGACGATCATCCTGAATTTAGCAGGTAAAGATTATCATCGCTAATTCTGCAAAGGAATGTTGAAATTTCTTATCATTAAGAGCAAAAACAGAGAGGAGAAGGGAAAAGATCCGACTTTCAAAGAGTGAATAAAGATCAAACAATGGTGGGCACCAAGATCCCTCTGGGATTGCTTGTGTAGTATTTAGATTGAATATCAAACATAACAGTGATTTATCATTCTTAATTAGTCACATAAAGCCACAAACTAGTCAAAACTTAAATTGTGTGTTAATTTAAAACAAAACAAAACATTAAATTGATGAAATGTTGAATTTGCATTCAAACTACTAACTAAAGACATCAGTTCACCTTATCATATTCTCTTGTATCACAGATATAAATAGATTACAGAGCATATAGTGTACCAATTAACTAAAATACTAGCTCAGATTTCTCATTTATTTTAAAATCAACCTGTTACTTCATAATCTCTGCAGAAAAATTGAATCACTCATTATACTATAGATACATTCTACAATTTGTTATATAGATGGTGTAAAATTTTACTGTGTCCATCCACCTAGTACACACTAGTTTAACACAGTGATCTCAATACTTCTGTTAGTATGTTATCAGTTTACAATTTGTTATATAGATGGCGTAAAATTTTACTGTGTCCATCCACCTAGTACACACTAGTTTAACACAGTGATCTCAATACTTCTGTTAATATGTTTTCAGTTTAAAATTTGAAAGTTTATTTATATGTTAAGTTTTTTTCATAAAACAACTTTTATTGCCAGATCTGATGTACTAAACCCAATATGAGCCAATGACAATGCTCAAGTGATTAAGATGTTTTAGTGCTTAATGGTAAATTTATTTGTTTACATTGATGTACTGTGATATTTGTATCGAATTGAATAATGTTGTAGATAACATATTTGTAAATAAGGACACATTTTAAGGTAAATTTTTTGTTATATATTTTCTTGAATTTATTTTCCAGATTATAGAATGAATAGCTAGCTGGCTTTCAGGTTAGTCATTTCTGAACACGGTTTTGTGATTAGTTTTATTTGATAAATTTTGTTTGCCCTACGTAATTCCGGTTGATATGTAGACTTCTTAAAACAAATCTTACATATCAAAAGCATGGCACAAAGTTATATCTGAATCTTGCCTGGATGAACCTCAGAGGTAATGGGTCAACTCATTTCTCGTAACACAGCCAAGAGATCTGAGAAAGTTTTATTCAACCTTAGAATATTAGAGGTTTGAAATAAAAGAAACTTACTATTTGATAGCATCTTTTCTCTGAAATTTACATCATTACATTATCAAAAGTAGAAGAATGCATTGATATTTCAAATTTCCTGGATGCTACAAGAATGTAACTATGGTAACGACCATTGTAACCACTGGAAATACAAACATGTTCTAAAATCATGTGATTGGAATGACTTAATTTCAAGAAAAGGTTTTTGATTGTTTTGATCAAACTCAGATGTCAGTTTAATTTGTGGTCTCTATCTTACCCTGTTACTCTCCTAACCTGTTACCAGTTCAGATGTAGTAATATCTATCTTATATCTCACTACTCCAATAAACAAGAAAACATAGTATACAAAAAAATCATTTCAAGCAAACGTCTTTGCCAGTTGACAGGGATTCCCTCTCTGTTGGTCTCTACAATACTGTACTAGAGTGATGAAATATTCTGTGTTAAGTTTAGATAGCTGATGGGGTGTATTTCTTATTGACAGTTTTGTGGTCATATTTGGTCAGTTTGACCCCGGTTTAAACACAATCACTAGATCTTATCATTACTAGGTAGCTCTCTGTATGTTATGGCCTAAATGACTTTATATTTAAAGTTTTATGTTTATTGATAAATTCTCTGTAATTGTTCAAGTTACTGAAAGGTTCTTTATTATCTTAGATATCTAGTGAATATTTACACAATTAATAGGCCCCAAACTCCTGTTACCGCAGAATGTCCAGATTATATACACCTGTGAGTAGATCTGTAACACCAGATATCTAGTGAATATTTACACAATTAATAGGCCCCAAACTCCTGTTACCGCAGAATGTCCAGATTATATACACCTGTGAGTAGATCTGTAACACCAGATATCTAGTGAATATTTACACAATTAATAGGCCCCAAACTCCTGTTACCGTAGAATGTCCAGATTATATACACCTGTGAGTAGATCTGTAACACCAGATATCTAGTGAATATTTACACAATTAATAGGCCCCAAACTCCTGTTACCGTAGAATGTCCAGATTATATACACCTGTGAGTAGATCTGTAACACCAGATATCTAGTGAATATTTACACAATTAATAGGCCCCAAACTCCTGTTACTGTAGAATGTCCAGATTATGTACACCTGTGAGTAGATATGTAACACCACTATTTAAAAGTTGGACATCACCACCCTTTCTTTCCTTACTATTAGCATGTCTTGTGAATCATTACAGCTAGGTATACAGTGCTCTTGGGAGCTTGACAGGTGGAATCCTTTTCCTATGACTAAATGGTGTCCACATCATTTTTATTTGATATTTACCTGGACCTCACCTGTAATCAATTTGGAATTATATATATATACAATGTATCATTGGTTATCATCATGTGATGACATCTGTCACTGTAGATACATGTACCATGTACACACAATCATTGTAAATAATGAATCTTTGAAAATTGTTGATGGTTGTGAAATAAATTTGAGGATATTGTAAATAATAATTATATAAGAATGGTATTGCATAAAGGAGACTGTTGATAATGTACATATATATGAAAGCCTTTAGACTGTGATGCTCAAGTCATGTGATAAATACATGTGATTCCATGAGGGTTGTACTACTGCTGGTGATTATACCTGTACCAACAAAAACCTTCAGATTGCTACGGTTGTGATTTTATTATTTTTGGTACAGTATATTTTGTCCACAACATTCCATTCTTTAGATTGACAAAAACCTGACTCTAATTGTAACTTTGATTGTTTATGACCGTATATTGGCCAGGACCGTAAATTGGCCAGGACAAGATCTTTGATTTAAACTTTAATTGATAATTAGCTGATCTTAATGATTATGACCTGAAGTTACCTTGTTTATATCATGTCCTTGGACAATGACCTTACCTCAACTTGACCTTGACCTGACCTGACCTTATAATGTTCATGACCAGAACATAGATTGACCATGACCTGTCTTTAGATAATTTATGGCCTGACCTTAGATTGACATATAAGTGACCTAAAATGACCCAAACCTAACCTGATATATATATTGTTCATAACTTGACCTTAGACTGACCATGAGCTGACTTAAGACTGGCTGATCAGAAGTAAGATAGACCATTATCTTACATAAAACTTGCCAAACTGACCAGTTTGAACTTCAACGGCATGTTGTCATTTGCCTACTCTAATTACTAACTTGTTCAAATCATCAGAATGGGATATGTTGGCTGATTGTTGACCCAACTGGAAACAACTCAGCTGATAAGAAAAATAACATGTACTACACCGTAATTTACTCCATATGTTAATAAGAAATAAACTTTGGGTATATAATCCTTATATACATATATGATTATTGTTAATTTTACCCATGTTATGTACATTAATATTGTTTGTTTATATTATTATATTGTTAAACAGTGTGCTTATTTATTAATAGTTGTTGAGTTTGTAAACTGTGATAAACCTATATATATTGGAGATGATTTTTGGTAGTACATGTCATAAGTCATTATTATTGCAAAATGTGTTTGTTCCTCACCAGTTTGATCCTTTAGCCTAATAAGTATGTTATATTTCCCATGATGACTGTCCTGCCTACAGAATATGTACCATGTTCATATCATATGTATATTTTGTAATACCTGTGTTTGTATGCAATATAATGTCTACCCTTGTGTGGGGCTTTTGCAACGTCACTTGATTTTAAATACCTTGACCCAGTTGAAGGCTTTTCCAATATTTATTCAACATATTGTACATGTAATAGTGGAGAAATGTTATATTGAAGCACAGTTACCCATAGTTAGACTGAGAACACTCTTAATTAGATGATGTATATTCAAATGGAATTTTAGTTTTTTAAAAAAGGAAATAAATCTGAGTTCTTCATATCATCAACATAATAGATATGTAGAGAAATTACAAAAAACACACACACAAATACAGCTTTTGTAAAATCCCTCCATCATGCATTTTCTAGAATAATATGAGTTAAAGAGACAGAAACTTGTAACCAACCAACTAATGATTTCACTGTCCAGAAATCCTTACTGTTACAATTTCATGACAGAAAAAGCCAAATGTTTAAAAGCTGAAATTAATTTTAATGAGCAGGTTGTGACAAAATTTCATTGAAAGTACATAATCTGCAAAAATTGCAAAATTCAAAACCTAACCTTTATATTATTTTTTTTATATTTCTCATTTTATTAGCCTATCAGTTATCTATTATGATAATATAACTGTTGTAACATTTGAAAAATTAATGGATAAATGGTATGA